TACCACATTGTCAGCCACTGCTCATATCCAACTTGATCAACGTGCAAGTTTTCTTTGCTGGGCTGGTAGGCTTGCGGAGCCCTGAGTGAAGTCTGCTGGAGAGGGCCCATGATTCCATTCCTGCAGTCTCAGAGTCCTGATCTCACACAACCAGCAACACAATCTATAATGGTAAACATCTTCTGAGCATTCCTGCCATGCCGATCAATAGGAAATCTGAGCCACTCTGAGAGTCTGTGTGGTCAGAAGTCATTATGCTAAATGCTTCCTGTGCATTAGCGTACTTCATCTTCTCAGCGATCTAGTTGCTGTCATTGTCCCCATTTTATGGATGAAGAAACTGAGGACTGAGTGATTTCTCTAAAGTCATAAACTTGCATGTGACTGTGGGGTGGTGGATCAGGGCTCACTCTCTGTGTCATCGCCTTCTGGAACACCTGTGATCATGCCTAGGATACTGTGTGAAGCAGCTGATGGTGGCAGGGGGTCAGTAGAAGGTGGCTGCCTAGTGTGTGCCTGTTGGCAGCCTAGGGTGGAATCCAGGGGTCTGTGTCCCTTGAGAGCAGGGCCTGTGTCTGGCCTGTTTGCTCACTGGCCCTGAGGAAGTGCTTGGTCAGTGTTGGCTGGGTACTAAGGCAGAGCAAATGGTAACCTTCAGAGACTGAGACCATAGCCCCTGCAGACATGTGCTACTGGGGTTTCAGACCCACCCGTGGGACATTAAGCACTCAAAGTTTAGTAGACTTTTCTCTTCACATAATATTTTTTTAGTTGTGGATGAACACATCTTTATTTTATTCATCCATTCCCTTACGTGGTGCCGAGGATCAAACCCAGTGCCTCACGCGTGCAAGGCAAGTGCTCAACTACTGAGCTACAGCCCCAGCCCATTCACATAAATTTTTAACCATTAATTTTTTGAAATGTTAGTAAGCTTTAAACTTTTTATTTGGGTGGGGGGACTTTCCATGTTGAGCCCTCATGCACAGCTGGCAGGCACACTTATGGGGTCTCTCTGGAGGGAAGCTTGATGGTCCATCTCCAGTGCTTCAGAACATTTATTTTGACTCTGCAGTTTGTGACCTTTGCCTCAGAGTCTGTGCTTTCTGATCACAAAGCCCAACTTTCTGGACATAAAACTAAAAGAAAATTTTATTCAGCTTTTTACTTGGGGACCCACAGCTGAGTTTGTCTATCCAGATGCCAGAGAACCATCAACGGACCAGGCTGTGAGGCCAGCACGAGGGACAGGCCTGTAGTGTCTGCACTGTGTTCTAGTCCTCCTCTTTATGACCCATGTCACTAAAGACAAAGGAGAACAAGACCATCTCTTGGAGGCTCAATATCGGTAACCAACAGGTGCCCGGCCGTGTCTGTACAAGTCGGGAATTCTGAGAATGAATATTTACAGATGCTTTCTCCTGCCAATCTGAGTTTGGAAAGGAAGGAATGAGGGGGAAAAACTCTTCCTCTTTCTCTCTCTCAGGCACTAGGTAGAGACACAGGAGAGCGACTCATGAGGAATTCTCGCCTTTTCCTGCCAGCTTCTGCCAGTTCCCAGGGTCCTATCCACAGGCTCCAGAACAAGTGGGTTGTGCCGGAAATCCTGGCTGGCTTGGCAAACACTTGTCAGGGAGGAAATATAAGTTCCTTTTTTCGTTTTCTTTGCCGTCCTGGAAATTGAACCCAGGGTGCTCCACCACTGAGCTACACCCCTGTCCTTATTTTATTCTTACACAGGATCTTGCTAAATTAAGCTGCCCAGGTGGGCCTGGAACTTATAATCCTCCTGCCTCAGCCTCCCGAGATGTGGGATTACAGGTGTGCACTACCACACCTGGCAGGATTTATAATTTTTTTCTCAACACTCCCGAATTCATAATAAACAGGTAACGAAAGATTGTCAAGAGAAAAGCAAGCTCATTTATTAACACGGGCAGTGCACATCATGTTGGAGAAAAGCCCTGTGAAAGGCCACTCAGAGCAGGGGCTGAACTCGGCTTATGTAACAGCCTCAACAAGGAACATTCACTTTGAGAGAAGTGACAGGAGAAAGGACAGCAGCCCTGTGCTTTCAGAGGTGGGGACCTGGGCCGGGACCGGCATGGAAGGGACTCAGGCCTGAGGTTGGTTTGCAGACTCCCCCTGTTGCTTGTTGGTCTGAAGAGCTGTGCCCAGTGGTTAGCTTCTGTCCTTCCTGGGCCACGTGGGAGGGGACTGCTTTCCAAACTTATGTCCTGGTTTTAGGCAAGTGGGGAGAGCAGGGAGGCACATGCTGGGGGGCACATCCTGGTTTCCTTCAGCCCTGTGTGAGGAGCTGGCAGGAACCCATACAGGCCTTCTCGGAGATGAGTGTTTCATTTCTCCTAAGAGTGGGATTGCAAGGTCATGAAAGGTGTGTGCTTGACTTTGTAGGAAACTGCCAAACCTTTCCAAAGCTCTTTGTACCATTTTACTTTTCCATCAGAATATATGTGACTTCCATCCCATCTTTAGCAACACTGGATATCGTGTTTCAGAATTCTTAGTTTCATATCTTCTAGGGGATGAGATGTTATCCTCTGGTTTTAACTTGAATTTCTCTGAAACTGGGCTTTTTTTTTTTTTTTTTTAATCTTTTTTAAACAGGGTCTTGCTCATGGCCTAGGCTGACCTCAAACTCCTGGACTCAAGGGATCTTCCTGCCTCAGCCTCCCAAGTAGCTGGGATGACAGGCATGCCCTGTTGCACCTGGCTTACTGGCCATTCTTAACCAAGAACTGTTAATCATTTTCCCATTGTAAAATTGGGCTGTTTAGCTGGGTGTGGTGGCACACACTAGTAATCCCAGCGGCTCAGGAGGCTGAGGCAGGAGGATCAAAAGTTCAAAGCCAGCCTCAGCAAGTTAGGGAGGCCCTAAGGAACTCAGTGAGACCCTGTCTCTAAATAAAATATAAACTGGGGATATGGCTTGGAGGTTAAGCGCCCCTGGGTTCAATCCCTGGTACCAAAAAAAAAAAAAAAAAAATGGAAAATTGGGCTGTTTCATATATGTACAGATTTTTCTTGATGCACAACTGTACACATCTGTGGAGTACAGTGTGATATTTTAACACATGCATAGAGTGTGTGGTAATCAGATCAGAGTCACTGGCATGTCCATTATCTCAAAACTTTCTCATTTCTTTGGGTTATGAACCTTTGGAATCCTCTCTGGTGGCCAGTGTCAGGTAGCATACTGTAGAAGAGCAGAAACGATTCCTCCTGTCCACCTGCACCTCGCACCTTGCCACCCTCCTGCCTCCAGCCCATCCTTCCCAGCCTCTGGTAACCCTGTTCCACTTTCTACTTTTATAGCCTCCACATGTAAGTGAGGACACCTAGTGCTTATATTGGTTTTATTGTTGTTGTTTGGTTTTGGTTTGTGTGGGGGCAGGGGTGGGACCCAGGGCCCGCGCATGCCACGTCCTCAGCCCCAGGGCTTGTGTTTTTATGCCGACTCATTTCACTTAACATAACTGTCTTCTGCTTACATCCGCATTGCCATAAATGACAGGATCTCATTTTCTTTCTTGTGGCTGAGTTACTCCAGTGTGTGTAGTGCACACTTTCTTTATCCGTTCATGTACAGTGGGCACCCAGGCCGGTCCGTGTCTTCGCTACTGTGAACAGCGCTGCAGTAGACACGGGTGCAGGTGTCTCTTTGACATGCTGATTTCTTTGGATATATACCCTGTGGTGGAGTTACTGGATCTTTTGGGGGGTTGATAGCCAGTCATGGTTCTAGACTCTGCTCTGCTCATAGCACTCATGTCTGTGTTTGAGCCAGTGCCATATGGTCCTGATACACAGTCTTGTCAGGCAGTGTGAGTCCCCAACTTTGTTCTTTTGCAGAATTGTTTTGGCTGTTCTAGGACTCTTGTTTCCACGTCCATCTTAACAGTATTGAGCCTGCTAGTCCATGAACGTGGTATCTCTCCGTTTATTCAGATCTGATTTCTTGGTTTGGAGGATTCGATACCACGTGTCTGTAAGGGCTGTGTAGCACAGCAGCGTGTCGTTGTGTTGTGCATACTCAGCTGCCTCTTGCTGTTCATGTAGGTCACATCTGTTGCCCTGTCAATCATTAGCAGTGCCACAAAGTGTGTGTGTTGTCTTCCTGTGCACCTGAGTTTTACCTTAGAATAACCCTGGAGCTAAGTTACCTTCTTGTCGTCTTTGCTGTTTGCCTTGTTTAACTGTTGAGTTGGGTGCAGTTGGATGTGGAGGGCCTGTGCTTCCTGCTTGTTCTCAGGAGGCCCAGCAGCATGGATCCTGGGACTGGTGTCGCAGACAGTAGCAGTGGGCCAGGCTTGTGCTGTAGGGTTTTAAACAGAGAATTTTTTCAAAAGGATTAGAAAAAAAAAAAAAGGAGATTAATGTGAGAGAAGTTGATGTGGCCTGTCAAACCTCAGCTATTCACTGTCTGGTCCTTTGAAAGTTTGCTGAGCCCTGCTTTAGAGCACGCTCTGGCTGGACAGATCTGATCACCAAGTGCTTATTACCTGGGCAATTGACTTGGGATGAGCTGGTTAGTACTTAATTAAGCTCCAGCTCTGTTTTCTCATCTGTGAAAGTATACTGGGGGTTGTTAGAGGGCTTTTTTTTTCCCCCTCTGAACTTGCAGGAACCTAAATCTGATTGCTCCTGTAGGTCCTATCCCCCTCTTCCTGGTTCGGGCATCAGGGTAGTCACCTGGCTCCTGCCCTCCCTGGCCATCCAGCTGAAGAGATGGGGCATGTACCAAAGACACTTAAAAAAAAAAATCACACCCCGCTTGAAATAGCTGAGGACCAGTGACAACCCAGGGCTCCAGGCCTCAATAGAGACAATTAAAAACAAAACAAAACAAAAAACTTGGCTTCCAGTGAGGTTTGGAATTTAGAACCTTGAACCCTGTATTGTCATGTGACTGTTTGAAATGTTACCTTCTAACTGCCTCTCCCTCTTTAAACTGCCCACACCCAGAAAACTGTGATCACAGAGAAGAGGGCCGTGGTGACATGCGGGTGAACCCTGCTGTGCCATAGCCTGGCTTGCTGAAAGGTTGGGGATTGGTTTAAAGCGGCACAAGATCCCCCAAAGGCTCAAAGGATGACCTGAGGGACCCAGTGGCCCGTGTGGAAGTCGCCAGGCCTTCCCGTCCAGAGGGCAGACAGGCTGTGGCAGCCTAGTGGGCAGTGAAGGATCAGCCCTGCGAGGGTCTCCTCTCTGGGGGATCACAGAGGTAATGCGGTGACTAGTGACGGGCCGGCACCCACTCCGGCACTGCCCAGCTTAGTAGCTGTCCCGTGGGTGGGCTGGGGGTGTTCTAGCCTGTGGATGTCCCAGGCATGCCAGGGTGCACTTGCCCCTTCCTAGGATGGAGTCCACATAATCATTATTCTCTGGTTTGTGCTAAGAGTGATTTTAAAATAAGAGAAGTGTGAAATGCCTGGTTGACCCCCTAGGCTCCCTGCAGGAGGTCCCCCTTACTGGCTGTGAGCTGTGGGCAGAGAAGGTGGATACCCATGGCCTCCCCAGCACACCCCTCAGACAGGCACCCAGCGGGCACTGGGTCTCTGTTTTGGTGAAGGAACGGAACTGCGTTTTTGGGTCGTTTTTTCCAAGTCCTCATCTCTTAGAAAAGGTGCTGATAAAATGTGACTGTGTGTGCCTGGGGGGGTGCAGGGGGGTCGGTGAGCTGTTGCCCCCAACCCAGGCACCTGGGAGTGGTGTGTAGCCCCCTGTCTCTGTGGTCTGACTTCTTGGGAGTGAAGGGGAAGTGGAGAGTGGCGATGCCTCCCGGGCGCCTGTCTGCGCGTTTCCTCAGGAGGAGCATCGGGGGCCACCGCAGGGCCCGGGGCTGCAGGGGCTGGTGGCCTGTAGGTGCCTGTGGCGCTCGGCCTAGGGCTGGCTCCCACCATCTAGCTGGGAGTCTGGGCCAGTGGCCCTGGCTGGCCACTGGGAGTGGGCAGCAGCCCCGGGAGGGACCTAGTGTCCACCCTCTCTTCTCCACCCACGTGTTGGGTTACTTGGGCCCCTGTCAGCAGCCACGCAGAGCTGGGGTCAGCCGTAGCTTGCTGATGACTGTGGACCCCCTGGGTGGCTGGAGCACTTACTTATTTTGAAATGTTTTCTTTTGAAATAGACATAGGTTCCTATCAGTTGTGGAAATGCACCTAGAGGTCCCCCGTGGCACCCTGCCTTTGTCATGGCTGCAGGATGACTAGGTGACGCCCACGCAGTCCCGAGCTCACCCAGGTTTCTCCAGCTCTGCAGCCCCGTGGTGTGTGAGTGTGTGTGTGAGGTGTGTGTTCTGCGTGGTATGTTTTTTTTTTCTTTTTGGTATTTATTCTTAAGGTTTTTTTAGATGGACACAACATCTTTATTTTACATTTATGTGGTGCTGAGGATCGAACCCAGTGCCTCGTGTATGGTAGGTGAGCACTCTGCCACTGAGCCACAACCCCAGTCCCCCCGTGGTGTGGTTTTAAGACGCTGCAGGTCTGCCTGTCCACCACAGCCCTCTCCGCACACAGCTGCTTCTTCACTGCCAGGTGCTCCTCAAGCAAAGCATTGGTTTTTTTTTTCTTTTTAAAATTTGTTCTAATTAGTTATACCTGACAGTAGAATGTATTTTAACATATTGTACATATACGGAGTGTAACAATGTAACTTCTCACTCTCTGGTGGTACTTGGTGTAGAGTCACATTGGTCATGTAGTCATTCATGCTCTAGGTTAGTAATGTCCGAGTCACTCTACTGTCTCTCCTATTCCCACCCCCTCTCCCTTCCCTTCATTCCCCTTTGTCCAATCCAAAGTACTTCTATTCTTCCTTAAACACCCCTTCCCCACCCCCTTATTATGAATTAGCATCTGCGTATCAGAAAACATTCTCCTTTGTTTTTTTGAGATTGGCTTATTTTATTTAGCATGATATTCTCCAGTTCCCTCAATTTACCAGAAAATGCCATAACTTCATTCTTCTTTAAGGCTGAGTAATATTCCATTGTATGTATATACTATATTTTCTTTACCCATTCATCTGTTGAAGGGCACTTGGTTGGTTCCACAATTTAGCTATTGTGAATTGAGTTGCTATAAACATTGATGTGACTGCATCACTGTAGTATGAAACATTAATTTTCCAAACCAAAATCTTTTTCTTTTTCTGATTTTAGAGAGAAAGAAATGGTATGCAAAAGAATTGGCCAGGCACAGTGGTACACACTCGCAATCCCAGCTACTTGGGAGGCTGAAGCAGGGGGAGCACAAATTAAAGGCCAGCCTCAGAAACTTAGTGAGACTTTGTCACAAAATAAAGTAAAAAGGAGTATAGCTCAGTGGTAGAGCACCCCTGGGTTCAATCCCCAGACGACAAAAAAAAAAAGGGGGGGGGGATAAAAAAGAAGTTGATCTAAGAAGGAAAGCAGATGGCTGGGAGCTGTGGCACCCACTTGTAATCCCAGCAACCCAGGAGGCTGAGGCATGAGGATCTCAAGTTCAAGGCCAGCCTGGGCAAATTAGCAAAACCCTGTCTTAAAATAAAATAAAAGGACTGGGGTATAGCTCAGTGGAAGAGCACTTCCTGGTGTCTGTGAGGCCCTGGGTCGATCCCCAGTACCACTAAGTAAATAGATAGATCCATAAATTCATAAGCACATAAATGACAAGAGTGTTGGGAGGTACTGACCTCTGCCTTAGTGACTGATTTCACCTTGTCCTTGAGACTTTCACTTAAACAAAGCAGCACAGCTGTCCCCCACTGCTCGAAGCTGCCCTGACACCATCCCCAGCGGTTTGTGAGCACTCTTTACCTGGTTTCCTAGGTGGTGGCTGCCCTGCGCTCTGCTTGTCCTGCTGTTCTCAGGACATTGTCCTCCTGTTCTCTGGACGTTCTCCAGAGGTGGTGCCAGTCACCTGTCTCCCCGGTGTCCTGCTAATAATGCAGCTGTAGGTGAGCTTCTCCCTGGAAGTGAGGCAGGTGGCCTGCAGGCCCTAGGCCTCCCACGGGCTCTTGAGACTACCCAGGCCCAGGCCAGCGTCTCCTCCTTGCTCTTTGGAGATGCAGCCTTTCCCCCGCCGCCGGCCCTCTTGGTGCAGTGGCCTCCAGGACTTGGGTTTGGCTTCCTACTGAGGAAAGCCGCCACAGCTTCCGTCTTCCATGTGTAGCTCCTGAGCACAGGCAGGATGGTCGTGCCTCCTGCCAGGGATTCTGGGCCTCCCGCATGGCACTGGGCAGGCGCTCTGTGGGGGACCTGCATTAGACTCTGTGGTCTCCCTGAGTCCTCCTGGCAGCCGTCTGGGGCAGCTCCATCTTCTCAGACAAGAAGTAAGGCTCAGGCTGAGTGCTTCCCTGGGTCACCAGCTGGTGTGTGGCAGAGCCAGACTCAAAGCCTAAGTCGAGTGCTTCACCTCTAGGCTGCCATTGACCCAGGACTGCCTGTGTCTTCTTGCAGGTGAGCCCAGGAGAGAATGGGGGACCCCAGGGACTTCTGCCCTCACCTGGACTCCATAGGGGAGGTGACCAAAGAGGACTTGCTGCTCAAATCTAAGGTAAAGGGGCAGACCTTATGACCAGGGCCCACGCCCAGGGCTGCTGTGCCTGGTGCACCGTGTCTGAAACAGGCAGCACTGGCTGCCCTGGGCGCTTAGCCTCTGTGCAGATGGGGAGGCTGGCATCTGTAGGGAGTCCCCTTCCAGGGCTGGATCCTAAGGCCATTAATTACAGTCTAGATGGGCCATTAGCTGTTGGGGCTGAGCAAGTGCTGCTGACTCTGCCAGGGACCAGTTTTATTTCGATCCTGCCATGTGGGAGGAGCCCAGGGCCTGGGAGAGCCACACCCAGCCCTCCCTTCTCACTACCTGGGCTCAAGTGGAAGGCACGCCTCTTCTCTGAATGGGAGGATGCATTGTAATTGTCTTTTTATTGGTGAATTAATATATTTTGAAAAATCACGCTGTCACATGGCCAAGAATGAAACAGCAGGAGAAGGTAAATGTCAGAAGCCCCCTCCCTCCGACCCCCTAGGTAACCACCTGCCTTGGTGTTTATTGTACCTTTTCAGTTTTTCGTGCAAATACAAGCAGATGCTCTTCCTCTCCTTTCTGCCCTTTCTTGTATAAGAGAGGGCAGACTGCTCCCTGTTTTGTGTGTAAAGTGCTTCAGTCACAGAACAGCCTGCCCCGGAGCTCGTCAACCTCAGGTTGTAGAGAGGCCCTGTCCTTCTCTGTCTGGAAGCTTGGCCACGCTTCATTGTGGACACAGTGACTGACCCTCTGAGTGCCACTGTGCGTGGCAGAGCTGTGCAGGGTGGATTTCTGGGCACGTGCTGGGCTTTTTCCAGCCCTACCTCACCTCACCAGTGGCCTTTGTCTTGAGCAGGGTCGTGGGCCCTGGTGAGGAAAGTTCTCCAGCATCTGGAGCTGCTTTCAAAGTGAGTCTGCCACCCTCATGGCGTGGACAAGGGCAGAGTGAGGCTCCAGTGCACATTTCCGCGCCCTCTGATACCCGGTTTCTTCCCAAATCGCACCAAGGAAGGAGCAGGCCAACCAAGAAGGGGTTTCCCAGGAGGCAGGTGTCAGGGCAGAAGGCGAAGGGGGTGGGGCCTGGGACCGTCTGGGCTGGGCCTTCCAGAAGTGTGCTAGTGTCCTGGAGCCCCGAGCGGAAGACTGGGCTCGTCTTCGGCACCTCTCTGACCATCCCAAAAGTTATGGAGTAAACCCAGCACTGTTTTAAAATACTCAGGGGCGAGGCTCTGAGCAGGCACTGTGCAGGAGGTGCTGCCAAGAAGTGCTCAGGAGAAGACCTCAGCTGCCAGTGGCTGGGGGTGGAGAGGAGAGCAGCATGACACGGATTTCAGATGAGCACAGACAGATGGGCCCCTGGGAGTGGACAGAGTCAAGCACACCGTTCGCTGCGGGGAGGCCGAGCAGTTCCGGTTCTTGGGGCTCATCCAGTGGACGTGTATCTAAGGACACAGCAGCATTTATCGGACACTTTCATGGAGGAGGACACTGGCGGCCACCTGATGTTCATCAGCAAGAGAATGGGCAAGGAGGGCCTGATGTGTCCAGAGTCAAAACTGCAAAGAATGAGGTGTGGTCTCCACGTACAGACCACAGCAGGGGACAGGGTCATCTCCTGAGAGAGATGTTTTGTGTGATCTTAACTTTCACTAAAAATCACCCCCAAGGGCTGTGCTTACCTGTTTGTATAAGAAGAATGAACAGAGGATGGACTTCTAAAGGTGACAGCATGTGCGTATCATCTGCTATACTTCAGATCTTATGCAGCACATGTGTACGAAAGCGATTGTCACAGCAAGCAGACAAATGACCGAGATGAAAAAACAGACCTGGAGTGTAGGAGTGAATTGTGAAATCAGAACCTCAGGAGAGGTCACAGATTCGCAAAGGTGGGCCGCTGCTCTGGGTCTTCTGGGCAGACTGATCACGGGTTGCCACTGCAGCATCTTCAGTGAGAGGGAGCAGGCCTTGCAGGTCTAGCTTGTTTTCTTCACCTGAACCACTGAGGGTCCTGAATGCAGCCTCCTGTGGAGGCCTGGAGCCTACCTGGCCTTGTCAGGGGACCAGGCTTTCTTGGTAGTAGCTAGGATGACCTACCTCCTGCTCTGGGGCTCAAGCTCCTTGGCTTCACTGTCTAACCTTGCTCTTGCAGGAGCATGAGCCTCTCAGCCCCTATTTTTCGTCCATGAAGAGGGAGCTTGGTGGCATCTGCAGCACAGGCTCGTGGCGATGGTAGGGCAAACCTGGCTCCGCTCCCAGTGTGGCTCTCACTCCCTCTTCTCTCACCTCCACTCCCACAGGGAAGCTGCCAGTCCTGTGGTGTTGCTGGACCCAACCTGTGGGCCTGTCTCCAGGTAAGGGGTCCTTACGGCACTTGGGGCGTGGGTTCAGTCTAGATTTTGAGCTGACAGTGCTTGTCCCTGCTGGGCACTGTCAGAAGCTTGGGCTCCAGGGTCAGCAAGTCCCTGGGCAGGCTGCTCTAGGAGCCCTTAAGAGTGACAAGAGAAAAGAGCAGGTTGGGAAGATGCGGGGCTGAAGGTCCCACCTCCACCCCGGCAGAACTCTCCTGAAGAGTGCGCAGAGGTAGGTGCCTGGGCCGAGCCTGCACAGCCTACCCTTCCCCAGCTGGCAAGTAGGGACTTCTCACCCACAGCTGTGCCCAGAATGGGCTTAGGGTGGACTTGACAAGACAGCTGCCCATGACAGGCTTGGCATGGGCACAGCCCAGACAGCATGCAGGAAAGTCTGGCGGAATTGTATTGTAATCATCGCTTGCCACACAAAGTGGGTCCACCAAACAGAGCAGTTTGTGACGGGGTGGCCAGAACCCTGACAGAGCAGGCTCCTGCTCAGGAGGTGTGAGCCTTCTGGGAAAATAAAAAGTCTGGAATAATCAGTAAGAAATAAGACAAAGCCAAAGATAGATTTGAAAAGTGAATGCTGAGCACGGTGGTGCATGCCTGTAATCCCACTGTTAGGCTGAGGCAGGAGGGTGGTGTGTTCCAAGCCAGCCTCATCAACAGTGAGGCGCTAAGCAACTCAGTGAGACCCTGTCTCTAAATACAAAACAGGGCTGGGGATGTGGCTCAGTGATGGAGTGCCCCTGGTTCCAAAAAACAAAAACAGAGCGCCTGGTGGGAGAGTTTGGAACTGAACAACTGAAAAAGGCCCCTTCTTTATTGAAGGAAAGTCCCTCAAAGGCCTGGATGAGGTTTCAGCCAGAGGAGTCTTGTTTCTGTGCTTGTTTCTCCCTGTAGCAGGGGTCTTGCCTAAACAGGTAGATGGTGTTTGGAAGCCACACCCGTCTCTGGGAGGCCCTTTGGCTCTATCTCCCATCTCCCATATCCAGAGCTGAGCTTGAACTTGAGCAGTGAGCTGGGAGAGGGTGCCCATGAACTGTTGTTCTCAAACCAGTGGATTGTACCTGGGAGTTCCCAAGACCAGCCTTCCCTGCCAAATGGCCCGAATGTCGCTCAGGTCACACATGGCTCATGGCTGGGCCCCAGCAGCAGTTCCTCTGGGTGGTGGGATTGCAAGTGATTTTCATTTTTTTTCTTCATAGCTTTGTAGCATTTTGCAAACTTTCTCTAAGTATATATTATATTTTATAATCATAGATTTTCTAATCATAGTAAAAAAATTACCTACAACTTCTTAAATTCCATGAGTAGAAGCAAAGAGGACAGTGAGCTCTAGGGGTGAGGACACAGGCTTTGCCGACACTCAGGGTTCCAGGGCCGCTCTGGCCTCTTCTGTTGAGGCCTTTCACTTAGTATGACTAGGACTGCAGGACACCATCTGGACACCCAGGGGACAGCAAGAAGGCTGAGACATGGTCCTGCCTTAAGGGAGTCCAAGGTCCTCCAGACAGGCAGATGAGGGAACCTTATGCGGGAAATGGGGCCTTTTGGCCATGACTTTTTGTGCATGTGGTGCTGGGTGTTGAACCAGAGCCTTGTGCATGCGAGGCAAGTGCTCTACCAACTGAGCTCTATCCCCAGCCCTTGGCCATGACTTTATGGTCTCAGCTGAAAGGTCCTTTCCTGGAACATTTCTCTAGCCTGTACATTGCTGACCCCAGATGCCAGTGACACCAGGCCCTCCCAGGGAGGGGCAGGTACCTTGGCCACTGATTGCCAGCTCCGCAGTGGAGATGTCTAAGCTGGGCCTGGGAAATGGGCAGATCTTGGAGAGGCAAGTGCAGGGCTGAAGGCAGCTCCTCAAGGACACGAGGCCCCGCCTTGGGACATGGGATCATCATCAGCCCCCAGCCACCTCCTTGCCATATTTTGGGTTTTGCTACTGGGGATTAAGCCCAGGGGTGCTCCACCACTGAGCTACACCCCCAGCCCTGTTTATTTTTGAGACAGGGTCTCACTAAATTGCCCAGGTCAATCTTGAACTAGTGATGCTCCTGCCTCAGCCTCCCAAGTAGTTAAGATTACAGGTCTGTGCCACCGTGCCTGGCAGGAAGTGGGGTTCTGGTGGAAGGACAGGGTCTGGGCCCCAAGTAGCCCAGCTCCAGTTATGACCCTGCCTGAGCTTCTGCCCTTCACTAAGAGCATCCCCGCCCAGGTGAGCTGCAGCTGGACAGACTGGGCTCCTTCAGGCAGCAGCACCGCAGTTGCTCATGGGGCCTGTTGGGTAGAGGTGGGCCACCCTGCCTCTTAGGGTGCAGTGAGGGGCTTACTGCCTTGACCCCCTCCTCCTGGCTGGTCCCAGTCCACACTTGCCTCCTTCCTCCCAGGTTGCCTGCCCCTATGTTGGCTGCGGAGAGTCCTTTGCTGACCACAGCACCATTCACGCGCAGGTAGGTGTGGTGGCCAGAACGCAGGCTGCGCAGTCAGGCAGCCTGGGTGGAGCCAAGCCAGCCACCTGCCACTCTGCCTGCTCCTGGCCTCCGTGGCTGAGGCTCTGAAGTGGGGACCGTCATAGGGACCCACAAAGAAGCAGGAGAGAGGGAGTACGGGTGAAAGCGCTGGCACACGCCTGACTGGAGGCCGCAAAACCAGAGGGGCCTCTACTTTTTAAATTTTTTTTTTAGTTATAGATGGACACAATACCTTTATTTGTTTGTTTATTTATTTATTTATTTTTACATGGTGCTGAGGATTGAACCCGGGGTCTCACACCTGTGATGCGAGTGCTGCACCACTGAGCCCCAGCCCCAGCCCCAGGGGCCTCTTCTGAGGCCAGAGAGTGAGGCAGCCCTGACTCGGCTTGACACCTGTTAGGCCAGGTCTCCTGGGCCTTATTTTGGATCTCCTTCCAGGCTAAGAAGCACAACCTGACAGTGAACCTGACCACATTCCGGGTCTGGTGCTATGCCTGTGAGCGGGAGGTGTTTCTGGAGCAGCGGCTGGCGGCCCACCCACCTGGCTCCCCGCCCAAGTTCTCAGAGCAGGTGAGACACTGCTGGGGATGGGGGCCCTGTGGCCTGAGCATCCAGGGAGCGTGCTTCGTGGGTTCCAGTCGTTGAGTGCTCCTGGCCAGTGAGCTCTCAGGTGTCCGAGGAACTTGTGTCGACAAATGCTCTTTGAGCGCACTTGTGTGCCCAGGCCGCATGGAGCTTTGAGAATGCAGAGTGACCCTCAGGCGCTTAAAGGCCCTGGGGCAGCTGTGTGTGAGTGCAGGGTGTAGGGTGGGTCCAGGGACCCTCCCAGGCCTTATGGGGGTCACCCATGGCCCCTGGTGTCCCATATCTAAGCATGTCCTGAGGGATCACAAGTAGTCGCTGTAGCATGCTCATCCGTGGGAAACTAGGAGGCTGCCTGGATGATGAGGCAGCCAGAGAATAGTCCCTCCAAGCAGCAAGGCACTGTGCGGCCTCCAGAGTGGCCGGTCGAGCCGCTGTCAGAACAGCCAGTGAGCTGCAGTTGAGGCCCAGGGGAGCCAGGCCACGCCTCCCTGCATCTCCTCCTCGTGTAGACGGTTACATGATAGTGCTTGATGAGCATTTATTGAATACACTTTTTTTTTTTTAAAGAAAGAGTGGGAGAGAGAGAGAGAGAGAGAGAGAGAGAATTTTTTAATATTTATTTTTTAGTTCTCGGCAGACACAACATCTTTGTTTGTATGTGGTGCTGAGGATCGAACCCGGGCCGCACGCATGCCAGGCGAGCGCACTACCGCTTGAGCCACATCCCCAGCCCCTTGAATACACTTTTGAACACAGGAGGTGTTTATGGATCTAAAATAAAGGCTGTAAAACCACATACATACACAGCCAGGCAAAATGGTCCATACCTGGGATCCCAGCTACTTGGGAGGCTGAGGCAGGAGGATGGCAAGTTCAAGGCCAGCCTCAGCAACTTAATTAGACCCTGTCTCAAAATAAAAAGAGCCAGGGGTGCAGCTCAGTGATAGAGCACCCCCATGCTCAATCCCCAGTACCGCAAAACAAAGACAAAAACAAAAACTTCCAATATATGCAGCATCTAGCTTGCAGTGAGTGTTTTGAAGTGAGAAGTTTGAAGTCTGTGTATTATAGTTAATAAGATCCTCTCCTAGAAATGGAATCTCATAGGTTTTCTTTATGTTCTTGTTTTTTTTCCCAGATATATTAGAAATAAAATTATTCATTATTGCAAATAAAAAATACAAGTCAGTGACCCTGTGCTCACATTAGCTGCTGATGCCATCTCTTCCTAGGCTGTTCCTGCTCTGATGGACCAACATGGTCCGTGCTCTGTGCGTGGGGCCGGGGCTGTGGGCTGGTCCTGCCCTCTGGAGGCAGGTAGCCCCCTCCCCAGCCCTTCTCCCTCCCCAGCCCCCTTTTCCTTCTCTCTGGGTCTTGAACACAGGACTCTCCGCCACCCTCTCATCCTCTGAAAGCCGTTCCCATTGCTGTGGCTGACGAAGGAGAGTCTGAGTCAGAGGACGATGACCTGAAACCTCGAGGTAATGGCCCCAGAACAAGGGGAGGTGTGGGGCAGGCTGAGCCCTCGGCTGGGGGCTGGGAGCTCTAGGGTCAGGAGGAGGGACAGCCATACGGGGTGGTAAGTGGCTTCCTTTAGAGGGCCAGTGGGCCCAGCTGAGGTCCTAGAGGCCTGGCGTCCTCCCTCAGCTGTGTGGCCTTGGGCAGGTAGCCCCTCTGCAGTTGGCCTCCTGGTCAGTGTGGGCAGGGCAGCATGGCTTAGGACCCTGTTTACCTCCCGAGTTCAGGACCTTGGAGCCCCAGGAGCAGGAGCACACTGGCTCACTGAAGGCTTTCTGGGGAGCGCACCTTCCACCATCCTGGGGGGCTCTGGGTGGCGGCTCCACCAGGGGAGACCTGGGAGGCCGTTCTGGGCTGGGCACTAACCCACCCCTGGTGTCTGTCCCCAGGCCTCACAGGCATGAAGAACCTCGGGAACTCCTGCTACATGAACGCAGCCCTGCAGGCCTTGTCCAACTGGTAGGTGGTCCTCGTCCCCGTGATGTCCCAGCCATCTGGCAAAGCTGCCACGCTGCACGCGTGTGCCCCAGGACCCAGCGGTCCTTCCTGCGTGCGCACCCTGCAGAGCTGAGGGGTACACATGTGAGCAAGGGTGCTCATCAGGGTTTTCTGTCAGAGACCAGCTGCAGGCCCACCTGGGGCTGGGTCTCGGCTGAGAGGAGAGCACTGGCTTGGTGTGCGCCAGGGCCAGGGTTCCACCCTGGTGCTCTATGGAAAAAAAAAAGCCTCCTGGCACAGGGTATAAATTAGCGCAGTGTAGCCCAGTCTTACAGGAAATGCAGGAAGACAGCGTTCTTGAAGTAGGAGGGGTGCAGACCTGCAAGTGGGAAAGGGGGTTACCAGGCTTTGTGGTAACAGGTGCGGGCCTGTCTGGGGGAAATATTTCCTTTTAAGGATAGGCTTTCCATTCCATTAGGCTGGGGATATCCCTGTGCCTGACACAGTGTTTCCCACTGAGAAGGGATTGGGTGGGTGTCTATAGGCAAAGGAGGAAAGAGCGAACAGGTAAGTGTGTGTAGAAAAATCTGGAAAGAAAAACCCCCAAATATTCAGAGTAGCTGTCCTTGGGTGGCCAGATGGTCAATTTCTATAGTTTGCTTACTGCATTTTCTAATATTTTAAATAATAAGTGTATCCTTTTATGCATAAGGTTACTTTTGAAAGCATGAACCAAAGGACGGTGGGAGGCACCTTCAGGCCTGGGAGGTTCTGCAGGTGGGCAAGCTGGAGGGCTGGCCCACATATTCCATGCAGCTCTTGCTCCTGGCCTCAGGCTCTCCAGCAGAAGCTGCCTCTGACCCAGGAGACAGGGCTACGTCTGTTTCCCAGGGCAACAAGCGCCACGCCTCGTGGCTTCACCACCAGCCATCTGCTGCCCTCCATTTCAGAGGCCAGAAGTCCAGGACCAAGGGGCCTACAGGTCTGGTTTCTTCCAGGTCTCTCCTTGGTAGCAGCTGCAGCTGCTCCAGGTCCTCGAATGGTCTCCCTGTGTGCACACGGGCCTGGCACCTGGCTTTTAAAGTAATCTCAGAGACTTGGGAGGCTGAGGCAGGAGGATCGCAAGGTCAAGGCCAGCCAGGGAAACTTAGCAAGACCCCTGGGTTCAATCTTCAATACTGGGGGAGGGGAAAGGACCCTGTGTCTATTTGCAGTCATGTCTGAGGTTCTAGGAGTTAGGACTTTATATGAATTGGTGGGGGGCTACAGTCTAGCCCTAATGGGGTCCTTCTAATCATCAGCAGGCATTTCTGGGTGTGGGGGCCTCTGTTCCCACACGAGCACTTGGTGCTTCTGCTCTCTGCAGCTCCTCGTAAGTGATCCCTGTTCCCTCTTCCCCTCTGCCCTGGCTCACGCTCCCTTCCCTAGCCCTCCGCTGACCCAGTTCTTCCTGGAGTGTGGCGGCCTGGTGCGCACTGACAAGAAGCCAGCCCTGTGCAAGAGTTACCAGAAGCTGGTCTCTGAGGTCTGGCACAAAAAACGGTGAGAGACTGAGCCCCTGACCTTGGGCAGGTACACAGGGACTGGGTTTCTGTCAGTTGTCTTGATTGGACACATCCTGTGGATTTGGTCCTGAGCCAAGCACTTGCTTTTCAAGACCCCGTGAGATGCTCACAGCAGGTTGCATGCAGCCCTGTTTTACCAGTGGGGACTGAGACTTCTTGCTGTCAGTCACAGGGCTTGGGAAGGACAGAGCTGGGATTGGGGCTGGCGGTGAACCCAGATGGCAGCCACTTCACAGATGACTGTGCCAGCCCCAGGTCTCGGGTGGTGGGTGCTGGCCAGGCACAGGCTTGTGGCTCAGCATGAAATGAATTTAAAGACCAGAAACCTGAGTTGGATCTTTCACCAGGAAAAGTCAAAATTGGGAATGATTTATAATGAGCACTTAGAAATGTGTCAAGTGCAGAAGTGGATTAAGAGCCACCAATACTCCAGTTGTACTCAGGTGTGTGCCCCATGGGCTCTTGTATGTGTATTTTTGCAGAAAACTCAGGAAATCTGACTGTGCTTCTCTCCAGATGGTGCCAGTAGTGGTGCTTCTTTGTTGTACTTTTCTGAAATTCTAGATTTTTCAAGAAGGAATGGGTATTGCTCTTAAAAAAAAAAAATAGATGTTTCACAGTAATAAAGCAGGCTGGGCCCATCCTGGGCGCTTGGGAAATGACACTCTCCAGTTGAGAGCTCCTTGCCCAGTCGAGGCAGCAGCCAGGCCTCTCGGGTTCCTTCCTGACCACCCTGATCATGAGCTGCAGGAGCCCTTGGGTGTCCCTGCACCAGGCCAGGTGTCCCTGCACCAGGCCAGGTGCCCCTGCCCTGAGTCAACATAGATTCACTGGTCACCCGCATCTCAGTGCCAGTAGTGCAAGGCTGGCAACTTGGACTGATGGGTTTGGTCTCCCCACAGACCAAGCTATGTGGTCCCTACCAGCCTGTCCCATGGGATCAAGTTGGTCAACCCGATGTTCCGAGGCTATGCTCAGCAGGTAAGCCACTGAGCTGCCAGGGCACACCCAGTGCCTTGCTGTCAGCCAGAGGGGACCCAGCACAGTGCTGCAGGAGGTCTGAGTGGGTGGGCCCCCGACCAGGCACGTATTACGTAAGCCCTTCCTGCGGGGATGTGGGGCCCCCAGCCCCATTCTGGTGTTTAACCCCACACTACAGGTGGGGAAGCTGAGGCTCAGGGGCCTTGTCACTAGTCCTGGTGCATAGCCAATGCACGGTGGAGGGACTCTGAGCCCAGGTAGCTTGGCTGCAGTGTAGTTGTCCCCAGCCCTGCAGTCACAGTGGCACAAACCACAGTGCAGTGTCACTTTTATTAAAGTAAAGATTTTAATTATATATTTTTTTAATATAGAGAACTCTTTTGAAACTAGCTATCTTTATCTGTTTTATAAAATCATGAAGCCGGGCTGGGGAAGGCTCTGGGTTCAATCCCCAGCACCACAAAAAAAAAAAGAAGAAGAAAGAAAGAAATCACGCGGCCTAGTGCTGGGGAGGGATTATAGCTCATGAGTAGAGTGTGTGCACAAGGACACACACACACACACACCCACCCCACAAGAACAAGACAAAGCAGAGCACAGCCTTGGGTGGACCTCAGCCCCAAGCTGAGCCAATGAATACCAAGGTCCAGGTCCCCAGGGGGTTCCCAGACAGGCCTGTCTGTGTCACCTCTTGTGCCACCTGAGCGTGGGGCCCTGGGGTCCACAGCAGGCATTGGGGTTGCACCCGCTGTCCACCTCTCAGCCAGCCTGCCAGCCCCTTCTAGGCCTGCTGCTGCTCTTTCTCTGCTTACCCCTGGGTGGGCGCGTGCCTGGGGAGCACCGCACTGCCTGACAGCCCCCTTTCTGGGGAGGGATGCATCCACTGCTGTCACCTTGTGTCACAGATCACACAGGTGTGGTGGCAGGGGTGGGATTCAAGCCCAGCTGAGTGCTGGCCCTCAGCCCTGGGTGAGGACACTGTTAGGGGAAGCTTGATGCTGCGTAACCTCCACCTGGCCTCCGGAGAACCTCCCTCTCTGGTCTTGGACATGTGCAGGGACACTCCTGAGTCTGAAGTGCAGTGCAGCTGTGGGCCTCTCTCCATGGCCGAGGGACACTGTCATGCCTCTGCATGAGAATTTGTCAACATTTGTCTAACACAATGTTGTGTTAGAAGGAAGGACCAGAAGGAGACGCAGATGGTGATTAAGGGCTTGTTTTTTCTAAGGACCTTTCAATGAGCCTGACTTGGGGCCCCTGCATGCCCCATGATGCGCACAGACTGGTGGTGGACCCCCAATCCTGCCAGGGGAAAGCATACCCCGGCCTCCATTCCCCGTCAGTAGGGCCAAGAGAACAGGCTGTGTTCTCCAGGCTTGGGGCCGGGGCGTGGCTGGCAGCGTGGCTGGCTTGGTTGGCTCTGCTGTATGACCCTCCCTGCCTTGTGGGGCCAGCACTGGTCAGGGACTTTCAGAGTTGGACTCGGGACCCAGGGCCTCCTCCAGTGCCCTCAGCTCTCCAGGTGGGCCGGGCCCGCCCCTAGTGCCCTTCAGAGCATCCTTGGGAGTGCAGCTCCCTGCTGGCCCAGTGGGCTGCCTTCCAGAGTCCACCTCCCCGGCTCCCACTGCCTGGCGGCCGGGGCACCACTTCTGGGGAGAAGCCACCTGAGCACTGAGCCCATGTCATGCCCGGGTCTGCAAGGCCAAAGGACCCTGACCCCAGGGCCTGCCTTCCAGTGCTGCACTGGCAAGGGAAGGTGCAGGCCTGTGGCCAGATGGTACATCAGGGAGGACCAAAGGAAGGGTGATTGCGTGGCTGGCTGGCCTGCTGGGTGGCGCTGCACCTCCAGGACTCTGCCAAGTCCTCCCCTTCTGTCTCCTGTCCTACACGCCCCTGCTCCCCACCTGCCCACACTGGCCTCTCCTTTAGGGAACAGGTGACTTCAGTGGCGGACACTGTGCTGCAGATGTGGCATGTACGTAGCTGCACACCTGGCTCTGCCTGGCACTGAGTTGTGAGGCCAGGGAGGGTCCCCAGCCTCTGCCCTTCAGTGTCCTTCTCAGGAGAATGGGGATTAGGGCAGACCTGCCCTGGAGGCCACCATGAGGGGCTGAGCAGCCTGTCTGCCCAGGGCCCCCACCAGGACCTCTCAGCAGCGGCTGGCATCCTATGGGCAGGGTAATAGGCACATGCAGTGCCCTCCCACGTGGACGGCCCGTTGACGTGGCCCTGGTTACAGGACACCCAAGAGTTCCTGCGCTGCCTGATGGACCAGCTGCACGAGGAGCTCAAGGAGCCGGCTGTGGCGGCCACGGCGGGGCTCACAGAGGCCCGGGACTCAGACTCAAGTGACACAGATGAGAAACGAGAGGGCGACCGGAGCCCGTCGGAAGACGAGTTCCTGTCCTGCGACTCTAGCAGTGACCGGGGTGAAGGCGACGGGCAGGGGCGCGGCGGGGGTGGCTCGCAGGCCGAGGCGGAGCTGCTGATCCCCGATGAGGCGGGCCGCGCCATCTCCGAGAAGGAGCGCATGAAGGACCGCAAGTTCTCCTGGGGCCAGCAGCGTGCCAATTCGGAGCAGCTGGACGAGGACGCAGACGTGGACACGGCCATGGCTGCCCTTGATGACCAGCCTGCCGAGGCCCAGCCACCGTCACCGCCGTCCATCAGCCCCTGCCGGACCCCAGGTATCAGTGAACTGGGGGCACCCTGGCCACGGGGCCACAGCACCTTTGCCTACAAGCCCGTGTGTGCCAAGCCCAGCATGCAGCAGCCCACCCAGATCCTACTGTGGCTGGACTCAGGTGCGACGCAGCTTCAGCGTCCAGTCACCTGGCCAACAGCCAGAGCCCGTGCTGTCCTTGGTGGGAGACAGAAGGGCAGCTCCATCCCTGTGGCCCGGGGGTGGGGCAGGGTAGGCAGACAGTGGGTTGAGGTTTTCGTCCCATCAGGAGCTGCTGGAAGGTCCTCCTGGCCTGAGGGACCTTGTGTGGCTGCCCCGGCCTGGTATCGTCCCTCCTCTGCCCCCAGAGCCGGACAATGATGCCCACCTACGCAGCTCCTCTCGCCCCTGCAGCCCTGTCCACCACCGCGAGGGCCACGCCAAGCTGTCCGGCAGCCCTCCTCGTGCGAGCCCTGTGAGGATGGGGCCGTCCTACGTGCTCAAGAAAGGTTCGGGGGCAGTAGGGTAGTGAGCTTGGGCAGGGCGTGGGCAGGGTACAGTGGTGGCCGGTTGGCACACTGGCTGCTGGAGGCTGGGCCACGTGCCCCTCACTAGGCACACCCCTGGGATGTGAGCAGGGCAGCCCTGCTTCACAGATGACAAACTGGGTGCCAGAGGTGGGTCACACTCCCCGTCACACGATCCCGCATCCTGGCAAAGGAGGGCCCAGTGTCTGTGCCTTGCCCCATCCTGGCGGCTGGAGGCTGGGCCTAGTCCTGTGCTGTGCCCCCAGCCCAGGCCCTGAGCACGGGCAGCCGGAGGCGGAAGGAGCAGCACTACCGCAGTGTCATCTCCGACATCTTTGATGGCTCCATCCTCAGCCTCGTGCAGTGTCTCACCTGTGACCGGGTGGGTATCCTGAGTGGGGAAGGCTGGGCTGCCTGCAGTTTCCACTTGGTGGGTGGCATGGGGTGGGGTAGCTGGGATGGAGTGGGTGTGGTGGGGCAGGGTGGGGTATGGCGGGGTGTGGTGGGTGGGGTGGGGTGTGGCGTGGTAGGTGTGGCGTGGTGGGGTGTGGTGTGGGTGGGTGTGGTGTGGTGGGTGGGGTGTTGTGGGGTGTGACAGAGTGGGATGGGGTGGGGTGTACTCCCTCCTGGGCCCCCTGCCTTTCTCCTGGGGAGAACCCTGGTTGTGGGCTTTTGGGTCCAGGGCCTGGAGGGGCAGACTTGGTGTATAGGTGCTGCCAGAAGGTGGGTACCAGGCTGACCTTGGACCCCATAGGTGTCTACCACAGTGGAGACTTTCCAGGACCTGTCACTGCCCATTCCTGGCAAGGAGGACCTGGCCAAGCTCCACTCGGCCATCTACCAGAACGCACCCGCTAAACCAGGCGCCTGTGGGGACAGCTACACCACCCAGGGCTGGCTGGCCTTCATCATGGAGTACATCCGGAGGTCCGCCCCTACCTGCCACAGGGCCACCTTCCTGTCTGTCCTGGGTGGGACTCAGATATGCAGCAAAGTAGGAGCCCGCAGCCCCGGGGAGAACCGGGGGGGGGGGGGGGGGCTGGGAGGGTGCAGGAGCTTGCCAGAGAGGGGCAGGCAGGTGGGTTCCCTGGACACCCGGAGGCAGCCTGAGTCAGATGGTTCAATGAAGAAGGGTGGCAGGTGTGACCAAATGGCAACTGAAGGGGAGACAGCAGCCGGGAGCCAGCCTGCCCCAAGGGAAGAGCGACAGGTGGCTTCCCTGCACCCTGCCACACACCAAGTGACTTGCTGTGCAGCAGTGAGGTCCTCTGTGGCCGCCCAGGGGAGGGGCACCAAGACCCTGGCCCCTTCACAGGGAGAGGCGCCATCACTAGCTCGAGGACATGGTGGGGTCGCTCCAGATTTGTGCACCTCCTTGCCAAGCTGGCCCACTGGGCCTGTGGGGCCTCGGGCTTGAGCAGGCCATGCCAAAGCCCCCCGTCCTGTCTGGCCCCACTCTGGTAGCCCTCACCCGCTTTCTGTCTCTGTAGGTTTGTGGTGTCCTGTACTCCAAGCTGGTTTTGGGGGCCTGTGGTCACTCTGGAAGACTGTCTTGCGGCCTTTTTTGCAGCTGATGAGCTGAAGGGTGAGTGGCCTGGCCGGTGGGGGTGGGGGTGGAGGTTGCTGGAGAGGGACACGGTGGACCCCACACACACTGTGGGCCAGGGTGCAGCCCAGCTCATGGGACATGTGCCTGGTTCTGTTCCCAACACCGAGCACGTGAGAGTCCCTGTGGCCACCTCTTGGCTGGGCCTGGCCACGCACCCTAGCCCACCGCTTCGTGGCTCGTGATGTTCATCTGTTTATATTTTTTTACCAGTGTGGAGGCAGTAGTGATATTCTGCTTTAATTTTTCATTTCCTTGATTATTGATGAGTTTAGATCCTTTTTCATTAAATGTATTGACTACTACTTTGAAATTTCCCATTCCTATTCCTCACCTATTTTTCTGTTGGCTGCTTGGGATCTTATTAATCTTTGGTAAAACTCTTTTTCAGTTTTCAATTGTGGAAAAATATAAAAACGCAGAATTTACCACCATAACCTTTTTTTGAGGGGTGGGTACTGGAGATTGAACTCTGGGGCACTCCACCACTGAGCCACATCCCCAGCTCTATTTTATGTTTTATGTAGCGACAGGGTTTCACTGAGCTGCTTAGCACCTTGCTTTTGCTGAGGCTGGCTTTGAACTTGCGATCCTCCTGCCTCAGCCTCCTGCACTGCTAGGATTACAGGCGTGCACCACTGCGCTTGGCTCACCATAACCAATTTTAATGTTATTTTAAACAGGATGTCCACCTCCACAGTATTAAGTGCAGTCACATTACAGAGCAGCCATCCATTTCCATCTGTCTGTGTGTATGTGTGTCGTGCTGGGCTGGAACCCAGGCCTCCTGCTTTGCCATGGGCCCCGCTTGACTCAGAACATTTTCATCTTGCAAAACGGAAACTCTGTGTCCATTGAGCAGCTTGCTGTCCCCCACCCTGCTCCTGCTGGCCAGCATTCTGCCTTCTGATTGGTGAACCTGACTTCTCTAGGCACTTTGTGTAAGTGCAGTTATAGTGCTAGCTTTTCTGTGATTGGTTTGCTGAGCATAGTGTCCCCAGGTTTCCTCCATGGAGCATGCATCAGAATCTCCTTCCTTTTTGTTTTTTTTTTTTTTTTTTTTTGGAAGTGTTGGGGTTGAATCCAGGCCTTGTGTGCCAGGCAAGTGCTCTACCCCTGAGCCACATTCCCAGCCCTTCCTTTTCGGGGCCAAGTGATATTCCTCTCAGTGGCTCTTCCACACTTTATCTATCCATTGGCCCCTCAGTGGACGCTAGGGTTGCTTCTGGGTATAGCTATTGTGAATACTGCTCTGTGAGCAAGGGTGAACAAGTATCTCTTTGAACTCCTCTGCAGTATACCCAGAGGGGGACTGCCAGACCACGTGGCAGTCTTAGTTGCTGCCTTTTGAGGGGCCTCCATTCAGGTTCCTGCAGGGCTGGTGCTGTGCCCAGGGCCCCGCTTTTCTTTGCACCTCGCCAGTGCTGTCCTGGCATTTCCCATTACACTAACCTGTGGGCACGGTGGTGTGCCACTGAGGCTTGGATCTGCCTTCACTGACAGCAGTGAGGTGGGGCGTCCCTTCCTGGGCTCGTCCTCACTGGCGTGTCCTCTGGGGAGAAATGTCTGCTCCGGTCCTGTGTCCACTTCCTAACTAGGCTGCTCTATTGTTGGCTTTAGGGTCCCTCACGTGTTCTAGATGGTGACTGTGCTGCCAGGTGTTTTCCGTCCAGGGTTTGCTTCTCATTTCTGTCTTTGGTTCTTGGGGGTCTTTGATCCTGATGTGGCCCAGTTGTCTGCCGCTGCTCTTGGTGCGGTGCGTGCGCCTGGAGGCGGATCCCGGTACCGGCTGTCAGACTCCAGGTCTGAAGCTTTCCCCGGCCATGTCCTGATAATAAGTCAGTGCAGGAGCCGAAACCTAGCTCTGCGACCCACTCTGAGTCTGTGTGCCCAGGTGTGAGGTGCAGGAGGCCCTGGGAGCATGGAAGATTTGGACACTTTCTGGCTTTAATGTTGCAGTTCCTTCTCATTTTGCCCTTTGGCTTCTAATTTTGGTTTTAGAGATGTCTGTCCCGAGTTTCAGTGTTTCCAGGGAGATTCACTTTTCCCCTGAGCCTCCCTGGGGTGCGGCCTCTCCGCACTCTGGGTTAGGGCTTTCCTCCTCTCCGTTGCCCGCTGCCACCCTACCCTCTGCTCTTGTGTTGCAGGTGACAACATGTACAGCTGCGAGCGGTGTAAGAAGTAAGCCCGGGCCTGGGGCTTCCCCAACTCCCGTTCCCAGTCCTCCCGCCTCTACGCTTCCCTGCCCACCCCAAGGGAGCCCCGTCCTGGCTTCCAGAGTGACTGGGTGGGGGACTGCCTAACGGGGCCCTCTGCTCCCCATGAGACGCTGACTGTCACTCCCTCGTGCCTCCTCCCCAGGCTGCGGAACGGCGTGAAGTACTGTAAAGTCCTCCGGTTGCCCGAGGTGAGCAAGTGGCTGGGGCTTGGCCAGCTCCTCCTCCACACTATGGCGGCACCTGGCTGCTAGCAGTGTCCCACGAGGGCCAGCTCCCTTCTTGCTCAGGAGCTTCTGTGTCCACGCCTGCCCTCTGCCCTCAGATCCTGTGCATCCACCTGAAGCGCTTCCGGCATGAGGTGATGTACTCCTTCAAGATCAGCAGCCACGTCTCCTTCCCCCTGGAGGGCCTCGACCTGCGTCCCTTCCTGGCCAAGGAATGCACGTCCCAGATCACCACCTACGACCTCCTCTCGGTCATCTGCCACCACGGCACGGCAGGCAGTGAGTGGCAGCCCTGCGGCCGGCCCCTCCCCTTGCTGTGCCCGCCTCCTGCAGGCCCTGTGACCTGCTGCTCTCCCTCCAGGTGGACACTACATCGCCTACTGCCAGAATGTGATCAACGGGCAGTGGTACGAGTTTGATGACCAGTACGTCACCGAGGTGCATGAGACGGTGGTGCAGCATGCCGAGGCCTACGTGCTCTTCTACAGGTGGGCGGGACCCATGCCGGGCCTCTGAGCTGGGCCTGTGGTCAGGCGCCCTGGGCCACGGAGGGGACTTGAGTGCCTGCACAGCCCCACCAGGCCCAGGCCTGGCCCAGGCTGCTGCTTACCCTGCCCCTTCCCCCCGCGCCCCAGGAAGAGCAGCGAGGAGGCCGTGCGGGAGCGGCAGCAGGTGGTGTCCCTGGCGGCCATGCGGGAGCCCAGCCTGCTCCGGTTCTACGTGTCCCGAGAATGGCTCAACAAGTTCAACACTTTCGCCGAGCCAGGGCCCATCACCAACCAGACCTTCCTCTGCTCCCATGGAGGTGAGTTGCCCACCCGGGGGACGCCGGCACGGTGGGTGGGCCGAGCCCCAGCCCTACTTCCCTGTGCCTCCCTCCGCAGGCATCCCACCCAACAAGTACCACTACATCGATGACCTGGTGGTCATCCTGCCCCAGAACGTCTGGGAGCACCTCTACAACAGGTGAGGGGCAGGGGAGGGCTGCCGGGGCCCAGCTGGCCTGCAGGGGCAGCGTGCAGCAACCCTGTTCTGTGTTTCTTAGTGCAAAGGACGCCTGGTCTGGGGGTGCAGTCCCTCCCTGCCCTCAGAGGGGACAGGAGACTGGCCCACACAGAGGCAGGTGTGTTCTTCCACCCCACAGAAGCCTGCCTCTGTCTCAGGGGTGTAGGGACTGACAGCAGGGCCAGCTGCCCCAGCCAAGGAGCTCCCAGGGCCACCGCCATCAGGACCAAGAGCAGCAGCTCTCCCACTGCAGCCCAGCCCTGCCCAGGCCCCTCTGCAGCCGGTGGTGGTGTGGTCAGCTGTCCCTGCCCTGCCCCCCATTGGGTCAGCTTGGCCACATCTGTCCGAGGGTCAAAGCCACCTTCCCCCTGCCCAGCTGCCAGTAAGGGGGTCAGAAACTCACAAGGAGATGTGTCCCTTGATCCTGTGGGATCCCTTGGGCCAGGGACACATCTCCTGTGTCCTGCAGCCTCCCTACGATGGTGCCGCAGGGTCCAGTTGGGGCAGCTCCAGGCCCACAGCACCAGCCCAGAGGAAGCAGGGCCAGGCCACCCAGTCTGTGGGCTGCGCTCTGCCGGGCCAGGCCGTTGTCGCCATGCTGCACACAGCTGGCGAGGGGTGTGGCGCCCAGTCGGGTGTGAGGGGAGCCAGGGAGGGCGCGCCCTCTGCCTGTGCTGCCACCGCCCCCTCCTCAGGGCCGCATCTCTCCTTCCGGAGTGTAGGTTCGGGGGTGGCCCTGCCGTGAGCCACCTGTACGTGTGCTCCATCTGTCAGGTGGAGATCGAGGCCCTGGCCAAGCGCAGGCGGATGGAGATCGACACCTTCATCAAGGTGCCACGGGCACGGGTGGCCTGGGGAGCACTGTGGATGTGGCTCACTGTGTTCAGTCCCCAGCACCAAAAAGAGAAAAGCGATACTGTTAGGGGACTGGGCTGTGGCTCAGTGACAGAGCACCTGCTTGGCACACGTGAAGCCTAGATTCCGTCCCCAGCACTGCAAAACACAAGTGCTGTCATGTGACAGAACGGATATGAGCAAAGAGACGCACCTGCTGGGCAGGGAGAGCTGCCTGGACCGGTGCCTCCACGCTGCTGGGCTAGCACTCGGCCTCCAAGCTGCGTCCCAGCCCCAGGGAGCAGTTCTTGAAAAGCGAGGCGCTAAGCAACTCAGTGGGACCTGTCTCTAGATAAAATACAAAATAGGGCTGGGGCGTGGCTCAGCGGCCGATGCCCCTGAGGTCAGTCCTCGGTGCCCCAAAAGGAAAAAAAGCAGGTCTTGAGATTCACCAGTGTAACCAGCAGTCAGTGGCCTGGTGGGGGACGTTCCAGGACGTGCTCATTGAGCTTGTCCAGGAGTCATGGATTCCCACCTCCCGTGTCTGGTGGTGTCACGGACTGGGGTGGAGGTGGGGCAGGGCGTTGGGACACCATCCAGGGAGGGGCAGCTGACCAGCCTTGCCCTCCCCCCTGCAGCTGAACAAGGCCTTCCAGGCTGAGGAGTCTCCGGGCGTCATCTTGTGCATCAGCATGCAGTGGTTCCGGGAGTGGGAGGCCTTCGTCAAGGGGAAGGACAGCGGTGAGTAGAGCCACCTCCACACCTAGCACTGGCCACCTGCAGAGGCTGTGGGAGGCGAGGTGGCTGCCAGTCAGGGAAGGTGCCCAGGGTCTCTGTTGCCCCCTCCAGTGGGGAGCGGAGGACACAGGTGAACTGCCCTCCCCGTCACACTGCCCCCTCCTCTACCGACACCCAGGACTGTGGCCCTTCCTCCTGCAAGGCCAGTCCTGGAAGTCCCTTGGCCCTTGCCAATGCATTGTCTCAGACTCTCAGGAAAGGCTCTGCTGTTGTCTGACCCTTCAGATCTACAGAGGTAGAAACAGACCCTTGACCAGGGGGTTCCCAGGTTCCCACTGTCCCTAGCAAAGAGCAGGAAGGCCAGACCTTGGCCTGGATGTGGATGCCCTTGCCTCCCTCAACCCACCCTTGAACCCCAGACCAGCCATGGGGGCCTGGCAGGGTCAGCAGAATCAGTGGATCCTTGTACTGGGCGTTTGCCCCCTGGGAGAACCAGCACCCATCAGGGCTCAGGAGGGCGGTGTCTTGCTGCCTCACAGCCCGACCCCCCACTGGTGGGGAGAGGGTGCCAGGGACACCAGCAGCTTCTAAATAGCAGCTGATTGCTATTTGGCCCAAAGACTCAGGCGTGGCTGGAGTTAGAACAAGGACGAGGAGGCCCAGCCCTGGCCTGGACACAGACCCTGCTGCCTGCCAGCTTCCACCCTGCACGGTGCTGACCAGGCCTCAGCTTCTGTCTGAGTGAAGTCCCGTCTCATGATTGCTGAAGGTTAAATGCAGTGATGGGACACAGGGAAGGGGATTCGGTGCCAGCTGCCACCAGAGATTAGGACATTGCCCACCCGCCGCTGACTGTTGCCAATGTGCTGGGGTCTGAAACGATTGTGTGTATCCTTGAAGTGCCCTCTGCCAGGTCCCAGGATGTTGGGGGCCCCTGGCTCACACTGCAGTCGAGGATCCTTTTCTACCCCAGCACCTCCCCTGTTAAGTGCTCTAAGGTGGCTGGCTTGGTGGCGCATGCCTGTGATCCCAGCATTTAGGCGGCTGAGGATCGAGAGCAGCCAACTTAGTGGGCAACTTAGTGAGACTCTGGGTGTACTCGGCGGTGGAACCCCAATTCCCAGTACTGGGGGGAAAAACAGATTCCGAGCTGTCTGGAGGCTCAGGCTCGGGGCGGCCTCTGTAGGACACAGGTGTCAGAGCCTCACTGGAGAAGGCTATGTCATCCGCAGGGCCACCCCCACTCCCAGTGCTGAGTCCACACCCTCTCTCCTCCAGAGCCTCCTGGGCCCATTGACAATAGCAGGATCGCACAGGTCAAGGGCAGTGGTCACGTCCAGTTAAAGCAGGGTGAGTCTTCTGGCTCCAGGCCCAGCTAGGCCCCTGTCCCTCCTGACTTCCAGGTGGTTTCCTAGTCTGGGTCCCCCCAGGAGCTCCCTTGCCACCTGTCTCAGAGTTGGGCTGTTCTCCCACCCAAGTGGAGACCACGGGGAGGGTGTGGGTCCCCCAGGCCCCTCCCCCACTCTGCCTCTTCTGCTTCCTGCTGGCTTGTCCCACCCTGTTCTTTTATCAACCCCACTCTGGGACACAAGGGGCTGCAGGCAGAGGTGTGTCCTCTGGGGCCCTTGGTAAAACAGTGTCCTGTGGACAATCCTGCAATTTCAGCTTGATGGCTTTGGGAAACACTGAGGTCATCACCAGCAACGATGGTTTCCCTCAGGCCTTGGGCTTGAGCCCCAGCCCCTGCCCAGGTGTGCCCCTTTGTCCTGCAGGGGCTGACTATGGGCAGATTTCTGAGGAGACCTGGACGTACCTGCACCATCTGTATGGGGGTGGCCCTGAGATTGCCATCCGGCAGAGCGTGGTCCAGCTGCAGGACCCCGAGACCTTGCATGGGGAACAAAAGATCGAAGCCGAGACGCGGGCCGTGTGACTTGGTGGCCAGGCGGCCGGCCCCTCCCCTCTAAAACCCTCCCTGAGTCTCTTGGAGGGGTCCTGCCCTGCTGAGCTGGCTGTTCCCACAGGCCACAAGCCCTCCCCGCGGGGACATGTGCCCACAGAGGCCGCGTGGTGGCCACCAGCTGCGTGTGGTGGTGTCGGTGGCTCATAGCTCTAGTGCTGCCCCTAGGAATACACCCACTCCGCTGTCTCAGTGGCCGAGACTCTGGGTCTTTGTCCTGGCAGTGCCCACGCCAGTCACTGTCATCGTCGTCCCCAAACCTTCCCTCTTGCTAGCTCAGGTCCAGCTTTTCCTTGGAGCCCAGTGCTGCCCCTCAGCCAGAGGCTGGCGCCTGGACAGGGGCAGAGTGGCTGCCGCCTCCCAGCGCCCAAAAGCACAGAGGGAGGAGGCCACAGCGGAGAGTGGAGGAGCCAAGGCTCGGGACCGAGGGGCTTCTGCGTGCCTCCCTGCCGGCCACCTCGCCCTGCACCCGGTTGTCATCAGCGGCCCCTGGAGTCTGGGCCGCTCTGGTGCATCCTGCAGACTGCTTGCTGGCGCTTGGGACCGAGCGGGGAGCTCTCCGCTGGCAGTTGCTGGAGGCGGCCATCCCTCACTGACGTCCTGCCCACCATCGGTGTGGCTCGCCTCTGGTTCAGCCCTCAGCCTCACGAATGCCAAGCTGCCACCAGGGCCTGGATGGTGTCACCGGAATGCCTCACGCAGTGTGTCTGCTGCTGGCACAGCTCCAGGAGGCCTAGAGCGAGCGCCAGCCCTTCCCCAGCCCCGGCCCCAGGCCCCACCAGGGAGGGCGCGGGGCTGCTCACACAGGAAGGTCCCTCTGCGGGCCTGGCAAGGCTGTTCCTCCCTCTGGGGGCATGAAGTCCCCTGGCTGCAATAGCTGGACCAGGTGTACACCCTGTTGGGGTCGGAGCACAGGGAGGGCTCAAAGCAGGGGTCCTGGGACCAAGTCCCTCAACTGTGGCCTGCATGTGCCCAGGGAGCCCTGGCAGTGACCTGGTGGAGCCCAGACTTTACTGCTGGGGCCTGGGTTCACCCGCTCTGTCCCTTCACACCCAGACAGAGCAGCTGCTGCTGGGCCTGTGAAGTCACCAGGCTTTGAAAGCTGCTGCCGCCTGTCGCCACGGGCCCTGTGCCCGCACTGCACCCTCGAGATGTGGAGGCCACTGTGCAGGCCGTCACCTGGCCCATGTCTGTATGGCCAGTGTGTGTTCAGAATGTCATAATAAACAGATGTGCCCCACAGTCACCTCTGCCTTTGCCACAGTCATTTCTGTCCCTTGAGGGAAAGTGAAACTGGCTGCCATATGGAGGGTTGTGGGTCCTCGCAGGCCCCTGGAGCCCAGGTGACTAAAGTGGTGAGTGACCAGGCACAATAGGAGCAGTGCCCATGGCTGCCTGAGGCCTGAGGCTGCAGGAGGTGGCAAGGGGGCACACCACGGGTGAGTGGGTCCAGCGGTGGCCGGGGGCCAGCAGGCGGCTGTGGAGTAGCAGCCAGCGGAAGCTGCCTCTCCACCACCCCGGCCCCAGCTGCAGGCCCTTCCCGAAGCCTGAGGCTCCATCTCCACGACCTCTGGAGTCTGCCCTGGAGTTTGGGTGGGTTGTTTTTACTGTGGAGACTTCCCTGGGGAGAGAAGGGCTTGAGATTTCTATAAATTACTCAAAACATGTGCCCATGGGCTGGGGTGAAGCTTGGGCTAAAGCACGCGTGCGGCAAGCACAGGGCCCTAGGTTCAGTTCCCAGCACCCAACAAACAGAGCTCCCGTGCTCTGCCGGAGGCCTTCCCTGTTGAAGGTGGAGGACAGGAGTGGAAAGGCTGCGGAGGGCTGGTTTATTTCAGTGGGTGGAGACGCTCCTTCTCGTGTGGCAGCGAGGTGAGCCAGACGTGGATAGGTACCAATTTGCCTTAAAACGTTTCCTATATATTTTCCCTGAAATATCCAGCTTTTAAGGGGCTCGGTCAGAGCTGGACATGGAATCTGAACAAGAGCGGAGTCCGTGCTTGTTCACCTCAGCTGGGTGGAGACAGGAAGTGCTCAGTGCCTGGGGAGGCCGGTCCAGGCTTCTTTCCCATGCACTGTCCCCAGAGATGGCTCCTGGAGGCAGCCTGGGAATGACTGCTTTGGTGCCATTTATCTATCTATCTATTTATTTATTTATTTATTGGCACCAGGGACTGAACTCAGGGGCACTCGACCACTGAGCCACAACCCCAGCCCTGTTTTGTATTTTATTTTTTAAATATATTTTTTTTTAGTTTTAGGTGGACACAATATCTTTATTTTATTTTTATGTGGTGCTGAGGATCAAACCCAGGGCCTCATGCATGCCAGGCGAGTGCACTACCACTTGAGCCACATCCCCAGCCCCGTTTTGTATTTTAGCACCTCGCTGTTGCTGAGGCTGGCTTTGAACTCACGATCCTCCTGCCTCAGCCTCTGGAGCTGCTGGAATTACAGGCCTGCACCACCGCGCCTCGCCCTTTATTTTTTTATGTAGAGACAGGGTCTCGCCAAGCTTGAGGCTGAACTTGGAACTTCTTGCCTCAGCCTCCCGTCATCAGTGCCTTTTAAAGGAGCCAGAAGCCAGCCCTGCCAAAGGGCCCTGTGTGTGGGTGTGCAGCTTGTCCACCAGCCTGCGGCTCTGCTCCAAGCCTGCATCAGGGCTTCTGCCATGTGCAGCTTCCCTACTGCTCTTCCTACTGCTGATCTGTTTTATTTATTTATTTATGGTGCCCTGACTGAACTCAGGGACACTCAACCATTGACCACTATCCCCAGTCCTCACTGAGTTGCTCAGCACCTCTCCATTGCTGAGGCTGGCTTTGAACTCTCAACCCTCCTGCCTCAGCCTCCCAAGCTGCTGGGATTACAGGTGTGCACCACTGCGCCCAGCCTCTGTTCTGTTTTAAATTTGGTACAAACATGAATCACCTTGAGAACCTGTCCCACCTTATTTTAACCCTGGGCACCCCGGGATGTAAGTGGGTTTTGGCTCCCTCCTCCCTCCCTCCATTGTTCACAGTCCCAAGGGCCGAGGGTGGGGAAGGGATCAGTGCCTTCAGAGAAAGCTTGAAAAAGCAGAATGCATTTTGGGGGAAGGTACCAGCCCCAGGGACGCGTTAGGGCGCAGCCTCCAGTCTTCCCATTGGTTTGACACCAACATCCAGTCCTGATGAAGGGCGTCTGGAGACAGGGACTGGGACAGGGTTCTGAAGAGTCCGGCCAGGGCTCTGCCCGGGCCAGTCAGAGGGCACTGGTCCTTGAGCACCAGGGCACTGAGCTGTCCTGGGAAGGCCCTCCTAAGCTACTTCCAGAAGCCCAACAGAAAATGAATCCCCGCAGCTTTCATGACCCATTACTGCAGAGGACAAAGACCCGTGGGGCCTTTTAACTTCAGTGTCCTTTTGTGGCCCTGCGGTGTCCCTCACTGATTTCACTCACTATAACCACCTGGGAGGAGAAGTGCTTAAGTCGGGGCCTGAGTGAGCCCTCGATACCCTCTGGAGCCACACAGAGGGGCTGCTCAGTGCCGGTGGCCTTTGCAGGTCTTGTCAGAGGACAGACAGACAGACACCAGCGGTGGGAATGTGAGGTGAAGGGAATGATTCTGCAGGTGCGCCCACCGTGCGGACCCCCACATGCTTTCTTTTCCAAGAAGTAATTTATCCACGGCCCTGCCTGACCTCAGTGGACGGGCTCTGTCACCTTCCTCAGCAAACTATCCGTTATCTGCAGGAGGAATTTAGGTCTGAAATGTCAATAAGAAGAACACAAATTACCCTGAAGGGAGGACTTTTGTGACCCTGTCACAGACCAGATCCCAGATTTCTGGGAGATAAGGATAATTTCCCCTAAGTGTAAAATTGGTAACAGATTCCAGTTAGAACAGGTCCACATGGGCCAAAGTGACCTAGAGTGGTCATGGCAGTGGGGACTTGAAATCTGATGTCATCCTGCTGTCAGTCAAAAGTCAAGAGGTGGACTGGGTGGGACTCTCTGGAAGGGGGCATGCCGTCCCTCTCCTCTCTGAGAGGACCCACCCTCTCCTTGAGAGTGTCCCTTTCCCGTGCCTCCCTCACGCCTGTCACTCTATGTGCTGCGTCCAGACTTTCTAACTTGATGCCAAGAATCGGAGCCGCCTCAGTTTCCCAGAAGTTTCCAGCCCCGTAACAGCCTCAGAAGAAAGGACAGCAGAGGCCAGGGAGGACATGTTCCACCTGGACATTGGCCCCTCGAAGCCAAGCCCCTGCAGTTGTCGACATTAACTGGTTCTGCCCTGAGACCCACATGGTCCACCCTTGGCAGCCGACCTCCTTGTCCCTTGGTGGTCACCATTTCAGAACCAGTCTGTCTGTCTGCCTTCTGCCTCCTCCCTCTCTCCCTCCTCGGCCTGCCTCCCTGCCCACTGGTTCCATCCTGTCTCCTGGTCAGGGATACTCCGGCACTCTGCCTTCTGCTTCCACTAGAGGTCGTCACCGGCCCTGCTGACCTAGGGCTGGGTGTGGCCCAGGCAGGTGGGGGTGACTGAGGTGGCCTTGCGGCTGGTATTTCTAGACCTACCAGAGGAACCTGGTGCACAGGTTCCGGCCCCCCGCCCCAAGCCTCTGAGTCAGGAGTTTCTGGCTGTTGGGAACCACGGCTTCAAGAGGCCCGGATACTGCAGAATACAAATGACCCTGCTGTTTCCAACCCATGTGAGGCAGATCTCCCCACAGGGGCCAGAGGTGCGGCCAAAGCCCAGGCCACTGAAGCAGCTGCTAGCGGCAGAGAGAACAGAGCTGCCCCCGCCCCCGACCACAGCTGTCAGAGCCTCCGAGACACAGCCAGGCCCGAGAGCTGCCCGAAATGTCCTTCCTCAAGCCATCTTTTGCTGACAACCTAGATGGCAGGGTGGCTGCAGACTCCCTGGACCCCCCATCTGCTCGGTCTCACTGGGAAACCTGCATTCCCAATTGCTCGGAGGTTTGGGACCAGCCTTGGAGGCAGGTCCCACTCTGGAAGCTAGTTATGTGCACTGAGGGGAGGAGGCTGAGTGTGGCTCTTATGACCTCCCTCCTGCCCATCAGGGATCAAGTTACTTGGCATTGGCAGGTATGCTCTGGTCACACTTAGTGTAGCTCAGCAGGTGGACACTCTCCCCTGGTGGATAACTGTCTTTTTAAAACAGCCCTAAAAAGTCTCAGGAAACGGGGTGCAGTGGCAAATGCCTGTAATCCCAGTGATTCAGGAAGTGGGGGCAGGAGGATCAAAAGTTGGAGGCCAGCCTCACCAACTTAGTGAGGCCCTCAGCAATCTAGTAAGACTCTCTCTCACAATAAAAAATAAAATAAGGGCTGGGGTTGTAGCTCGGTTGGTAGAACGCTTGCCTAACACATGTGAGGCACTGGATTTGATCCTCAGACCCACATAAAGATAAAATAAATAAAAATATTATGTCATCTACCAGAAAAAAAATATTAAAAAAAATGAGTGTTCCTAGTTTCAATCCCCAGCACCAAAAATAAAGATAAAAAGGAAACAGCCTGTCGTGCTGGCGAACCCCTGTGATTCCAGCAACTAAGGTAGGAGGATTGCAGGTTTGAGGCCAGCCTCTACAACTTAGTGAGACTCTGTCTCAAAATAAAAATGGCTGGGAATGTAGCTCTTTGGGATTGCACCCGTGGGTTCAACTCCCAGATCCCTTCCCCTACAAAAAAAAAAAAAAAACCCAAACCCTTGGGAAACAAGCCTGGGATACAGCCCAGTGGTATAGTACTTGCCCAGCATGCAAGAAGCCTTAGGTTCCATCCCAGTACGGGGATGGGGTGGGGGACTTTAGGAAACAGGTGTGGGCATGAACCAGTCATCTCACCACCCCAACCCAAAGGTAGGGGTGAAACTCTCAAAGCTGTGCACCAGGGCCTCACGCCACAGCCCGCCCATGGGTGCAGGACACTAGGGTCCCCACCCTTCACAGTTTTCCCGAAACAGCTCAGCATGGCCTGCAGCTGTACAGAAACCTGCAATTCCGGCCAGGCCAACAGGAGGACCAGCTTGAGCACTTGTGACAGGGATCAGATCACTGACCCGTGAACTTGCTCTGACTGTCCCACCTCCCCCGCAGCAGGTTCCTGAGTGGCTAGTACAGCTGCCCGCTGAATCTGCCCACAGAACGAAATTCCTACTTCCAGATCCTTGAGTCACGGAGAGGCCCGACTGCCCTCCCGGTGGGGGGGAGGCACCTCCAGCTCAGGTCTCAAACCAGGCCTGAACTTAACTCTTGCCTCTCGGCCCAGGGGGCTGGTGACGGCACCAGAGCTTCTCTGACTGGGTCATCTCTCGGTGCAACAAAGGAGTCCAAGGATGCTACACCAGAAGCTACACTTTATTTAACATTTAGATTAACATAGTTACAAGGTCAATGTGGGCCTTCCAATGGAAGCACTTTATTTGGTTTAATTCCATTTCCAGGGAAAAACAGGCAATTTCAGACCTTAACAGTGGCAAGGGGCGTTTACAACACTGAAATGCCTCCAAGTGTAGAGTAAGTGCACGCATGTGCGTGCACACACACACGCACACGCACACATACACACACACATATACACACGCACACACAAGAAGGTGTAAAGGTGCTTGACATCGGGTTAAAACATAATTGTGGATTTTTTTTTTTTGTACTGAGATTGAACTCAGGGTGCTTTATCTGAGCTCTATCTCCATCCCTTTTTAATTTTAAGACAGGGTCTCACTAAGTTGCAAAGGCTGGCTTCAAACTTGCAATCCTCCTGCCTCAGCCTCCTGATTCAGGTGGCGTGCCCCACCCTGCCTGGCTAGGATCATTTTTTTCTTAATTTCTTTTTATTAGTTGTTCATTGACCTTTATTTTACTCATTTATTTATATGTGGTGCTGAGAATTGAACCCAGTGCCTCCCACATGCTAGAGAAGCGCTCTACCACTGAGCCACAACCCAGCCCCGGGCTTGGATCATTTTTAAAAATAACGTGTGGGGTGTTAAAGCACAGGAGGCGGAGCCAGTAAGAAACATGAAACCACAATTTCTGGAAAAATCCTTGCATTATCGTAACATTTTATGTTGTGTGAACTTTCTGATGACAGATGTTGCGGAAAAGCATCAGCGGCCCCTGTGCTGTGTGGGTCACGCGGTGGCTGAGCCCGAGGCTGAGCAGGACAGACCCAGAGGAAGATCCCTGCATGTTTTCCCACGCCTCCCCCCACCTCGCCCCCGTCCTGCAAAGGAAAAACCTGGGTAAATGACAAGTTCCTCTCTTTCCCTTTGTCTTTAGGTCATTTTCAGAGCAAGTTTGATAAAAACGATCCATTTTTACCTTACCACACTGTATTCTAGCAACGACGGGCAGCAGGTGCCAGGGAGGAGGGCGGAGCACCCACATCTCTCCTCCATGGGAGCTGCTCCAAGGTCTCAGGGATGCTTTCGCAGTGGGATTCCCAGAGTAGACGGTAGGACCTCAGCATCACAGAATCCCAAGCCCGTTGGCACCTACGGCAAGGAGGCAGCCCCGGGGGACGGCATTGGAAAGTGCTCATTCTCCAGTCTTTGGGGGCACGGGTGGTACAGACAGGCCACAGAGCGCACGAGCACATCCTGTACTGGGTCTCGACATTAAAGGAACAAAGAACCACGCTGACACTTCACCCCCTACGTTGCAAGAAACGAATCTACCTCGACCGCGATGTGAAACGGCACGACGCACATGCATTACGGAGGGTCTAAAATCAGATTAAAAAAAATTAGCATCCTTGTGGAATGGTCAGTGGTCAGCCAGACTCGGCAAAGTCCAGGAGTCCCAGAGGTGCCGCCCGCCATGCAACGGCGGGGGTGGGGCTGCTGGGCGAGGGCTGGTCTGCAGCCGGGGCTGGGCCCTGACAGCGCTCACCTGTGGTCAAGCCACCCTCCGGCGCCCCCAGGAGTGGGCCGATTGGGCTGCCCACCCTGAGAGTGGAGGCCATGCTCCAGGTCCCCGGCCCTGGGCTCAGCCTCAGTTTTGGGGAACAGCGAGCCAGGGCTCCTGCTCCCCCTCCACTTGACCCTGACGCTGCTTCCTGGGGCTGCTCTTGCGGGCCTCTCCTTGCTGCGGTCTCCAGTCGCCAGGGGGACGGAGCTGCTGAGGCTGGTCCGCGGTCACCCCTGGTCTGCCCAGGGAGTCATCTCCTGGTTTCCAAGGAACAAATCACCAGCAGACAGGCCTGACTCCGAGGACCTGTCCTTTCCATCCCTGTCCCTGTGGCTCTTGCTAGGCTCCCTTGTCACGAACACCAAGAACTGTGGTGCCCCAGGTGAGCCCCGTGTACCAACCACACAGGACACTAGAGCGCGGCCCTTGCCCTCGGCGGGAGACGCGGCAGGACTTGTTCCGCACCAAGGAAGAGGAGAAGCTGTGCTGCTAAGGCCTGAGTGGCCACAGGTTAGGTGACCACGGTTTCCCCCCTGAGATCCGAAAGGGGAGGGAGGAAACAGGTCCAAGGGCAAGTGCAGTGGCTGCCAATGGCCGGCAGAGCTCATGGACAAGGGCAGAAGCGGCGGCCACAGGGTCCCCAAAGGACCACGAGAGGCACCAGGTCTTTGGTGATGAATGCACTCAAGTCCTACAGTGCTACTTTTGGGATTCATGGGAAGAAGAGGAAGTTTCACTTTGCAATAATGAGCTACCAAAAGGAGAGTCACCCGGCCACCAAGTGCCACGCGTGGTCTGTAGTCATCATGGATAGGAAGATGACCAGGAGGGGTGAACCAGGATGCCCCTTATCTAAGGTGGACATGGGTAGGACGAGCTGGGGTGGGCTTTCAGTGTGGACCTTCCTAGCCTCTGCAGACAGGGCACCAAACTGAAGTGTGTGTGTGTGGCTGGAGTGGGGGACATCCAAGTCCGACCGGAGGGTCCAGGAATTGTGGGCAGGGTCCATGTGGAGCACGAGGTGCCAGCCCACAATCAGGAAGGCACCTCTGGGAGAGGAAGCATCTGCTAATGTAAGACACCAGGGGACGCGTGGGTGACACGTGGTGCTCAGCCCACCCTGCGACTGCCCTGTCCTCCTTGTTCAGATTCTGTTACTCGCCCCAGGAGACCAGTGGCGAAGTTTTCACAAAAAGGCACAGTGTGAAATGACGAGGAGGCCAGGGCACCATGGGTGGACTGGGGCCCTGGACAGAGGGGAGGGGCGAGGTGGGCAGCATGCTGCCACCTTCTGGCCTGGGCACGTGGGGACTGGGGGGATGAGGATGACCCCTGCTGTGCGGTTGGGGACACCTGTCCCCTCCAGGCCACCAGCGTGGGCCTCAGGGCTCGCTGAGCCACAGTAGCATGCTGTAGGAAGGACAGGAGAGGCAGGCAGGGTGGCGGGGACAGGGCAGCAGGTGGGCGGGAGGGCGGCCCCCAGCAGGCCGGGCAGCGGGCAGCAGCGCGGGAGGCCTGCGGAGACAAGCGCCCGGCCACGGGGGGCTCCTGGGAGGCTCGCCGCCGGTTGGTACTGGAACGCCACTTTAGGAATCTACAACACAAAAAGAGAAGAGAAAGCGCGTTAGAGAAGGTCGAGGCGAGAGGCGGGCACTTTGCAGCTCACTGCAAACTGCTCCGCCCTGGGCAGGGCGGGGCGGGGCTTTGGCAGCAATTGGTTATCAAGAGCGTCCTAGATAAGGAACTTTCACGGTTTTATCTCCAATCTTCAGCCAGTTTTACTTTGGGGTTAAGAGAAGCCCAAACCAGATCAAGGCCGCCCCCCCCCACACACCCGTCCTCCTCCAGCGGGCAGGGCCAGCCTTGGCTTCCAGGGGCCGCTCCCCAGCCCCCAGAAAGCATCCTTCCCTGGATGGTGCCAGGAAGTGAGTCTATCAGATGGAAACTCTAGGTTCCTCAGTGAAAAGGAAACCTCGTCAATTAACAGTGAAAGTTCTTCATCACGAGGAGGCAGAGGAGACACAGAATGGGCTCGGGAGCCCTGAGGGACACACAGGCAAGGAGCAGGGCAGATGGCACTGGAAGAGGAGGAGGAGGCAGAATTTTTAAAAAGCATTTGGCTGGAAAATTTCCCATTACTAACAATGAAAGAGTTAAATACTCATTACACAGAATAATTTTCTTGGAAAAAGAGAAAAATCACTTAAAATACACAACACTGAGAAAATATAACGTTTATTAGAGAGGCAGATATGAGGGGTACAACTAGAAGATGCCAGACAGATTCTTTTCTTTTAGGGTAAGAGAAAGAAACAATCATGTTGGCCGTATTCAATGCAACTTACTCAGAACCCAAGAGTCTATAAAAACTCAAGTGCGGAGCAGCCAGCTGGGGACCCAGCTGGGGCAAGAGTCCTGGGGCCTCCCCAGAAGTTATAAAAACAAAAGGTCATTAGGCAGCAGAATAAACGATAAAACAAACAGATAAAAGAGTAAGACATTAAAACAACTCATTCAAGGCATCCTTTTTAGTTTTTAAATTGCAGTATATACAAATAAATTCCTAGGTGGGGAGAATTATGGACATGTTTAACAGAAAGCAATTTTAAAAACACAAAATGCAACCACATAGGAAATCCCAATCCAGTTGACCAATTTACTCTAGTCTAAATATTTTGGCAATTATTAAATAAGCACATCGTAGACACCACACACACACACACACACACACACACACACAGAGAAAAGTGCACTGGTATTATTAAAAAGAAAACAACTGCTTTGAGGTTTGGTATCAGAAAGCAGGGCTGCCCCAAACCACGGGCTGGGGAAGGACATGCCATGGACAGGGGCTGGACGTGTTGACCAGCATTTTTAACCTCTAGGGGCCTCTTTCCAATAAAAGGAGAAGATCATAAACAGCTGAGATTTTGCTGCTTTTATTTAAATGGCACACTGATGGGAAGAAAACCAAGGGTACTTGGGGTGGAAATGAAAACTCTGACTCTTCGGCAATCGTTCCAATGTCTTCCAACATCACGCCCTGACAAAATGGAACCGAAACCACAATCTCCTTCTTGACTTCACCAGTGTGACCTAGGTTGATTTGCAATAAGTACTGAGGCGTAGATTTAGGCATTCAAACTGAACCCCCTCTCGGACCTGCGCTTTGCCTTGCAAGCCAACTGAGTTATTTCCAAATCAAATCTGCACAACTCCAGGGTGGGGGTGGGGGGCCGCGAGTTCACTGAGTGGGATTTCAAGAGGCTAACACTGTCTGGCCCTGCTTTATTCGTTTTCAGTGTTCCTTGCTTTTGCTAGGAGCTCCTGGTCTGGACACAAGCTCAGCATGGGATGGAGGGGCAGAGGTTTCATGCCTAGGGGTCTCCGGGCTACCTGGTCACCTGAATGGAGCTGCTCACCTCGCACTCACACCCACCCCTGGGTTTAAGGCTCTGCTGGTTTTCTCATGGCAGTACCTACAAAGCAGAACCGAAACCATTGCCCCAGAGAGGCCGCAGGGTGAGTGGCTTTATCAATGCTATGCCAGCTAAAGCTATTCGAAAGGAATTTGAACTACAAAGTCAATATATACATTGAAAAAGCCAGGTGAGCAGCCCGGCGTCCAGCCCGGGCCACCGACTGTCCCCGTGGCTACCGGGGCACACTGGGTGAAAGGCACAGGGATCTCTTTACACTGTCTTTGCAACTGCCTGGGACTCTGTCATTACTTCCAAAAAAAAAAAAAAGATGTCTTTAAAAAAAATCAGGTTGTCACTAAGTAAAGATCACTCAATTCCAATTTGGTGGCCATTGTGAAATATAAGTGAAGTTGCTGCTGGAATCTTGGAACACAGCAGCTCCTGCCGGGTCCTGGACCTGCAGCTGCAGGGCAGAGCTTCAGGGCTGGGGGTGCGGCTCAGAGGCAGAGCACCTGCTTAGCATGCAGGAGGCCCCGAGCTCCAGGTTAGAACAACAGCAAAAAAACAGCTCTAAATTGACTTCAGCTTATAAAGTGAGCCCACCCTGCAGAGGCAAGGATCCAACTCCCTCCTTCAAAGTAGAAAGATATAAATAAATAAATTTCAAAGTCAAATCCAAAGAGAACTTTACCCGGATGCTTTCATTCTGACCCATTTACAGCTGGTTCTCGGGGGCCTTTGGGGCGGATTCTCACAGCGGGCACAATTAATCACAGGACTTGGTATGCATGGAACCAACATCACTACCCGCCCTCCCGCCTCCGTGCCAACTTAAAAATGCAAATTCCCGCATGGCCCAGATTCCTTTAAAATGGTGGCAACAGTCAATCATATGAAATGAGCCAGAAATTCTAAAACCATTGCCCTTACATTGAAACTTTGGGTTCTTCCAGATGCCAATGACTTAAACACCCCCCTCCCCACAGTTTCCACTTTGAAAAGGACTGTCTTGAGGTCCCTGTGCAGCAGTGGCTCTATTTCTAGCCCCTCCTGGGCAACGTGAGCTGCTGCTGCAAACCCAGAAACAGAACCTGGCGGGAGCAGGCGAGGCACGGGCATCTCCCGCACTTGAGAAGCTCATCTGGCCAGGACAGCGCTGGCACCTCGGTCAGCTGTCACCGGGGCAGAGCCTGGAGGCCAGATTTCCTTTGTTTTTTGAGGACCATGTAGACATAAAAGCTCAGGAGGACCTGACAGCAATGTAACCACATTCAAGTGAAAATACATGCGCTCGGGCCAATATAAGAACCTCATGACCTCTGTATTAGGGGGGGAAGATTTTATTTATGACTTTCCCCCTGGACAGACTATGACTCAACAAACTAGCATAGTTGCATTTATCAAGTTACAGTGAGGCTCACATCCTCCTGCAACAAGCCAGCCGAGGCCCTCTGGTGCCTCGTGATGTGTGTGGACTTTTTAATTGAGAAATATTAATTAAAAGCTTGAAGGCGACTTTTTTTTTTTTTCTCATTATCTACAGATGCTGCCAAAAGGAGGAATGTATTATCAGGTTTCAAGTGACCCAGATATAAGTTGGCAGTTGGCAGCTTCACACAAAATCTCATCAGCAAGTGAAACTTGATTTTAGCCAAAGCTGAGACAGACAAGGAGACTCGGCGTGCGGGGCCCACGGTCCGCCGTGCCACCCCGCCATGCATCCGGTCCTCTGCGGGGCTGCCTGTAACAGTCACGGTTGTGGGGAGGAACAACTCCAAGTTTTAAAAAAGTTTTAAGTGGTATTAAATATAAGTCTTAGCACCTTTGGCATTTTTGTCCAAATAGACTTCGACGTATGAGGTGGGGACATAGCCCTCTTCGTCCTCGTTCCTCCGGATGCGGGTCCACCCATCGCCCTTGTCTTCCTCTATGACGTACAGGATTTCTCCTTCAATTACGGAAATGGTTCCTTCATTCTGACCTGCAGAGGCAACATAGCAACACTTTAGATTTCTTGTTGAATCCCAACAGAAAGCCAGTGGGACCTTGGCCGTGGAAGGCAGTAGGCGTCAGTTCGAAGGCCATCCCCTTAGACCTCCTGTACACAAGGTCCCTCAAAGCTGACCCCGAATGCTCTCCTCCCACCTAGAGACCTTCTGGGTCTTCCCCCCCCCCCCCCCCCCCCCGTCCATCTCTGCAGGGAGCCCCTTTCTGCTCCTCCCCCTCCTGGTCCTCCCCCTCCGGGCTTTCTCTTGGTGACCGTACCCTGACTCCGACTCCCTTGCCACAGTGTCCTCACGTCTCCTACGCAGGCTTTTTCCTGCGGCTACAGTTCCACCTGTCCTGCCCTCTGCAGCAAGCTCCCTCTGGCTGTGGCCCTGGCCCCCGGGAACCTGCAGCCACTCGGCTCCTGCTCCTCCCTCCCCATCCCGCTGGACACCCCGCGGTCCTGGCGGCAGGGCTGGGGAGTGCCTCTCATTTCCTCTCCTCTTGGTTCCTGAGTCTGAGCAGCCTGTCCACGGCAACCTCTCTGTGTCCACTTGCTAAGATCAATTACAAAAGGCCAGCCACCGAGGTCCAGGCGGTTTTCTGAAAGACCAATAGCTTAGGGACCTGTTGGTAGGGTGACAGGGTGGATTGGAGGCGGCATGGCAAGCAGCAGCGGAAATGGTGAATCTGGTGCTTCTTTCTCATTATGTAAACATGGACTTTTAGCCTGTTAAAGGCTCTGAAAAGTCCTGGCACACCTGCCTGTGCCAGGCATGGTGGCCCAGGCTGAGGCAGGAGGACCATGAGTTCAAAGCCAGCCTCAGCAACTTAGTGAGGCCCTAAGCAATTCAGCAAGATCCTGTCTAAATATAAAAAAATAAATAATAAAAAGGGGCTGGGATAATCCCCGGAGAAAGAGGAGCATTTAGATAGATTTAGATTTTAAAAAACCCACTGTAAAACTCATTTATCTGAGGGCTTCCCAAACATACCGAGCTCAGAGTTTCTTTTCCTAGTGACCCTGTAACATTCTTAGAAACATTACTTTGAAGCTGTACATTAGAAACCCCAGGTGGGTCTGTCAGTCCATTCTGTGCGCTGACTGCCTCCCCTGTTGCCCAGGGCCCGGCGCTGACCACGTCCACACCCTGCCCAAATCCTTCCAACAGGTCCTCAGTGTCTGACAAAATCTAATGCTCCTCTCTCCGGCCATGGCACGGCCACCTTCCCTCTAACACTCCACATCCCACTACCACCCCTCTACCCGGAGCCCCTCTTCCTCTCTCCAGCCCCACTCTGCTCCCCCTGGGAGGGGCTCTCACTCTCCAGGCACTGGGGCCGCCCAGGACCCTCCTTTGACAGGAAACCCCTCTGTTGTGGGGGTCTGCTCTGCTTCCCCAGGGAAGGGGCCACTCCAGCCACCTGCACCCACACCCTCCTGGCCGGACAGTCCAGGACTCTGCAACAGTCCTGATCCCACACCCTCTGCCTCAGCTGTTAGGTGCCAGGGACGACAGTTCGGGTGAGAGAGACCAGGTCTGGGAAGCTCTAGGGAAAGTTCTGGTCCCAGGAAGAGTGGAGCGGCCCTGCCCCAGGGAAGGCAGCAGAGGCCCGGCCGCCCGGTCTACCTTCAAAGGTGTAGAGGGCCTTGCAGGTGCCTATGGCGGGCAGGGGCTCCTCGTCGTCGAACTCGTCGTCGAAGTCGGTGGCCAGCACCTTCACCTCGTTCTCCTGGCTTCGCTCCTCCGTGTAACTGCCATCGGGGCTGCTCAAGAGAGGAAGACCCGCGGCAACTATAGCGACGGCGACCGCGATGGCAGGCAGGGAGGTGCTCCCTGCCCCCACAAAGGGTTCCCACCCTGTAACGCGCCTGCCACGCTGGCATGACAGGACCCTGTGGTGGCAGAGCTCAGCCCCACTGTGGGGGGTTCACAGGGCCCTGGTATCCACATTTCCAGATTCCAGATCCAGGCACACACCCAGCGCCCCGCTCCCGCCAGGCACCGCTCAGATACTGTACCTCTCGCGGTCCTGCGCGCAGCTGTTGGCCGTCGGGGCGCCCTGGCCGTCGTACATCCCGCTCTGCCGCCGCGCCTGCTCGCCTCGCGCGGGGAGCCGGCCTTCCACCTCTGCCAGCCAGGCCTGGGGACGACAGCCAAGACGACTAGGGCCTGAGCTCCCAAGGCGGGACAGCCACGAGGCCCCAGGCCACGGGGTCTGCACGGGCCTGTAGGTGACGGGGACCCCAGGGTGCTGCACCACTGAGCCGCATCCCCAGTCCTTTTTACGTTTTTACTTTGGAATTTGGGATCCTCCTGCCTCAGCCTCCTGAGGATTGCAGGAACAGGACCACAGAGGGGCTCCACCGCTGGCTTTTTATCCAAATTTCAGAGCCACAGAAGGAAGCTCCTCTTCACCCAATTTCCCCCCGTTGTGGCAAAAAGCACACTGGACTAGCTTTACCCTTGGGACCTAAGCAACTGTGTGGCCTTGGATGAGTGACTGACTTCTAATGACCAACATTCAGTTTCCTGGCCCCTGGCCACTGCTGCACCTGGGTTGTCTGCTTCCTACCACCCATTCCTGAAGCAGCCTGAGAAGGGACGTTGGAGTCCACCCAGGGACACAGGAGTGACATGGCCACTCCCTGTGTCTGCTCCAACACCTGCTTTTCCGTACCTCAAATTTCTGGGCCTCTAGTCTCAGCTTCTCTATGTTTTGGCTGACTTCTGTCAGTTTGTGATCCAGACTGGCCGGGTCTCCCATCTGCGGGTTCTTCAGGTAGACGTCTTTCATTTTGGTTATAGCGTCTCTGAAAAAATGAATGAGCAGAACATGGTCCCAGCCGCCCGGGTCCCAGGGGCCACTGTCCCCCAGGCACTTCCTCCCCACTCTTTGAAAACCAAGTGACTGGAGCTGGGGGCCCATGAGACCTGCATGGATTTGAAGGGGCTGCGGGGGCCGCTTTCCTTCTAAGACCTTTCCATGTGAATTCTACTCCCAAGGTCTGTATAATCCAGGTCTGACTTAAAATCCCAGTTGCTTTGGCTGAATAAATAAATCCCCTTTGTCTTCAGTGAAGGAGAAACACCATCCATCCTGCCCCTCCCTCGACCCTAAACAGCAACACAAACAAACAACATCCAAGTATTTCCATGTGGGCGCTCCCTGCGCTGACCACAGCTCGGGCTGGCCCCCTGGTTTCCGTGGGCTGCCCTATGCTGATCTCAGGGAGAAGCACAGCTCGTTGCTTTGCAAATTTGATGAGGAAACATTTCAGCTAGGAGACAGTGCTGCTGCTTGAATCCACAGCTGGTCATGCCAGGCAACAGAGCCTTAAAGTGCACATTCCAAAATTCCACTCCCTTCCCGAAATCCCATTTTGGAAATGGCCCCTAGGAGCCATAGTGAGGCTTCCCAAGAGCAGCCTGCAGGCCTGTTGGGGCTTCTCTAACTACTAACTAACCCTGACCTCAAGGGGCTTCCCCAGCTGCCAGCTTATCATTAAGACAGGAAAGAGAGGAAGAGGGTTGCAGCCACCTGCCTGCTCCCATCAGGCCTGGGCGGTCGGCCTCCCCCACATGGCCATTGTGAACTGTCAGCTCCTCCTGGGTTACTCTCCAGCAGAGCCTGAGGTCCACTTGGACCACCAGCCTCTTGACCTGGCTCTACTTTCTTTTTTCCCAATAGCATGCACCAATGGCCAGTGTAACAGAACTTGCTATGATGACTCCGGTGTTCTGTGTCTTTTCTCACTGGAATAGAAGCTCTCTGAAGAGCTCAATGTTATTCTAGCTTGATGTGTGTCCCCAGTGTCAGGCCCAAAGCAGATGTTCAGTAAAGACCTGTTAAATGAATAAACGTTCAATGTCATCCACCCTTATGAAGCTCTTTGCAAAACCCCTTTCTCAACCTCATGGCTCCCCTTTCACCCACTGCCCTGTTTCTCAGAGTCCTCTGAAGAGTTGTCACAATCCACGATCTTCAGTTCCCCTCCCAGTCCAGTCTCTGCTGATCAAACTCTCCAAAAGCTTATCAAGTTTATAGTTTGGTTTTTTTTTTTTGAGCTGGGATTAAACCCAGGCCCCGCACATGATATGAAATCTCCCTACTGCTGAACTACATGCCCAGTCCCAATTTTATTAACTTTTGTTGTTGCTTTTTGTACTGGGAATTGAACCTAGGGGCATTAAACCACCGAGTTACATCCCCAGAACTCCCCCCTTTTTTTTAATACCTTCATTTTATTTATTTATTTTTATGTGGTGCTGAGGATCGAGCCCAGCGCCTCGCATGTGCTAGGCGAGCACTCTACCGCTGAGCCACAATCCCAGCACCCACTTCCGAGGCCCTAAGGAACTTATTGATTGATACCCTGTCTCAAAATATTATATAAATGCATGGGAATATTGCATGATACCCAATAATATGTGTAATTTTTATGTATCAGTTGAAGAATACATTTTAAAGAGAGTACAGAACAAAAATTCCATTTTGTGTAAAACAGTTAATTATAGGTGTTCCTATTTTTTTATACTGTCACCATGTTTAAAAAGTGACCTGTGTTTAGGAGCTGCTCTACCAGAGATAAAGGAATTTTTTTTTTTTTTTTGGTACCAGAGTTTGAATTCAGGGGCACTTGACCCCTGAGCCACATCCCCAGCTCTATTTGTCTTTTATTTAGAGATAGGGTCTTGCTGGGTTGCTTAGTGTCTCACTGTTGCTGAGGCTGGCTTTGAACTTGTGATCTTCCTGCCTCCGCCTCTGGAGCTGCTGGGGTTTCAGGTGTGTGCCACCGTGCCTGGCAGGAATTATTCTTTAAAATGCACTTTTGTGTGCAATTAGGCTGTTATTCTCTAACCAGGTATGTTTGCATTGTTTGGTTGTATGATTAATTTTCTTCTTCTTTTGCAGTGCTGGGTTTGAACCCAGGAACTCATGAATGCCAGGCTAGTGCTAAACCACTGAGCTACAGCCCAGCCCTCGGCCCATCTCATAGAGCACTAAATCTCAAATCAACAGATGATTCACCTAACTCACTCAGAGGACAGGCAAGGTGGGAGAAGATTAATAAAGCGGTCTTTCAATCAGGATGATTAGCAAACTGCCCCGTGAGGTGTGGCGAGCTTGATTCTGAATGTGGGAAGGGCGAAGTCAGCAGGGCCACGGGTGTGCAAGGCCCGGGGCTCAAGGCCCTGCACGGATACACAGCAAAGAAGGAATGCGCAGGACAGATGGCAAAAACAGATTTTTTTGCGTATACATTAACTTATCATCCCCGAGATCAAACTCATAAAACAGCTCAGCACCCGGGCACCCGGCGGCAGCGGAGCCTCAGGCCAACTCTTTTTAGAACCCAAGAGCAGCTGGCAGCGTGCGGTGGGGCTTCCCGGGAGTTGTTTCCTAGAGACCAGCAAAGGCGACCTGGGAACGAGCAAGGCTGCTTGTCCTCGGATAGGAGGACAGTAGATCTGACCCAAAGCTGGGTGGGGAAGGGAGGGGGAGGGAACCGAGCCTCTTTCTGTTGGTGCCAAATATTCACTTGTGATAAAAGGAGGTGTGTATTTTGTTTCCAAAACCCAGAATAAAATCTGGGTTTTTATTCTTGGAAGAAAGGGAATCTCCGAGGTGAGAGTTAAGCAACAGCAGACTATGACAAAACACAGCCGAACCCGAGCTTCGTCATACATCACATCATCCACTCTACCTTTGATCCATCTCCTTTTGAATTTCTTTATTTAGTTCATCGACTTTCTGTTGGAGCTTTTTCCTTCTTTGTTCAGGGGGGAGGTTGCTGAAGTCCTCGGGGGTGGCGCCCTGCAGAGGCAAACGTGAGTGAGAGGCCAGGAAGCAGAGCGCGTCTGCGCCAGGCCACAGACACCTCGCGCAGGTGTCTGCAGATGGCTCCCCGAAGTAAGCAAAGCCTCCCCACCTCACCCGCTAGGATGCGAGGATCAGTGCATGCAGACTCTCACGACCACCCACGCTCCACGCCGTGGCGGAGGTTTGGGAAAGGGAAAGAGCAACGAGGAGGGAGGGAGGGGGGGGAGAAGGCTCGGACTCCAGCGAGACGGTGAAGAACAGCTGGAGTGGAGGTGGGTGTTCCTCTCTCCTCTGTTTTGGTACCGGGATCGAACCCAGGGGTGCTTAACCACAGAGCCACATCTCCAGCCCTATTTTTTAAAAACATTTTTTGTGTCAATTTTATTGAGGTACAATTAGCATACAGTAAGATTTGCCAGTGTGTGTGTGTGTGTGTGTGTGTGTGTGGTGCTGGGGATGGAACCCAGGGCCTTGTGCATGCGAGGCAAGCACTCTGCCACCTGAGCTCTAACCCCAGCCCTCACAGCCCTATTTTGTGTTTTATTTAGAGACAGGCTCTCACTGAGTTGCTTAGCACTTTGCTTTTGCTGAGGCTGGCTTGGAACTCATGATCCTCCTGCCTCAGCCTCCAGGCTGGGACGACAGGTGTGTCTGTGGCCCTTTTTATTGGTTATTTTGAGACAGGGTATTGCTGAGTTGCTTGCAGTCTCACTGAGTTCTAGGCTGGCTTTGGACTTGTGATCCCCCTACCTCAGCCCTGGATCACAGGTGCGGCCACCCTCCTGCTGGGGGCAGATCCTGGTGGGTCTTCCTGTGGCCCTGCCTGCAGCAGCCCTGCTGAAGTTTCTGTTTCCTTAATGTCACCCAGCGGGGCTCCCACCCACCCACCGCTTCCCAGGATCCTGCTGTTTTCCCCTGGTCCTGTGACACAGGGGGCCTCTGGTGCCTCAGAGAATGGGTGAAAAGGACAAAAGTCCACCCTCCCCTGCCTCCCCCCTGCTGTGCTGTCCTTCTGCTGTCTCTCAGGTCTGGTCACTTTGCTGCCTTAAGGGTGGCCTCAGGGCATTTGGAGGGAGCGCCCCTCGACCCAGCTCCCCGTGCCCTGCCCTTCTCCGCGCGGCCGGCGTGCCCAGCCCGAGCCTACTTGCTAGAAAGCTGCGGCCCGACTGTGGCATCCAGGGGTTTCCCTTAAGGGAGGCTGTTTCCACAAAGAAAGAGAAATGCAGACAGCCGAGGATAAGCCGGGAATCGAGGGAGAGATCGCACTTGAAAACCTCCATTCTTTTAAAATAAGGGGAAGGCTGGCTGGGGCTGGGTGGCAAGAGGGGGCGGATAATGTCATCCCACAATCAGGCTGGGCCGGCCAAGCAGCTTACTGGGGGCTTGTGACTGATTATGACAAAATGGCAGGGGGCCACGCTGCAAAGTGCGTGACTCAGCAAATAGCTGGCCACCAAGGCCCGTGAAGGCCTCGGCTACTGTTCTCAGACTGGCCCGTGACACACTGGGGCTCCCACTGGGGTCTGCGTGAGAAGGTTGGGGGAGGCCGGATTCGCATTCCCAGCACCAAGCCAAGAAGGTTCCAGTGGACGCCCAAAAGGAGGTGAAATGAGAATCATCTTCAACATAAGAATAAAGCTTCTTTCCAGACGCTGTAGCACCACCACTGGAACCCAACTGCTCTCTGCCTTTTCTAGTTCAAGCCCTGGACTAGAGGGAGACGCTGTGCTCAGCTGAACACCCACAGCAGGTCCGGTGTTCTCCAGAACTGAGACTTTCTTTTCTTTCTGTACGAGGGGCTGAACTCAGGGCGCACTACCTCTCAGGTACATCTTCAGACCTTATTATTTTTATTTTGAGACAGGGCCTTGCTAGGTTGCCCAGGCTGGCCTTGAACTTGTGGTCCTCCTGCCTCAGCCTCCTGAGTTGCTGAGATTACAGGCGAGGGCCACCAGGTTGGGTGGATTTTTTTTTTTTTTTAAAGTCAGAATTAACAACAACAACAAAAAATACGCAATGTAAGACACAGTGCTTCGGAAGTTGGGACATCAGGTAAGTGGTCACGTTTCTCCTGTTAACATTTGCTGGGCCGAGGGACGTGCCCCGAGTCCCACAGAACCCTCTGGGTGACGGGAATGTACTATAAGAGCACCAGCCACGCAGCTGGAAGGACCACGGGCCTGGACTGTAAAGTGTGCTTAGGACAGTTGTCGGAGGTACACAGTGTGTGCACAGCCAAAAAGGAATCGGGAGGCCACGCACACTGTACGGATGACTTACAAATAGATCTCCTGAGTGACAAGAAGCCCACAGATTCTTTAGCCAAAGCAGAACGATGAAGTGATACAGGAATGGATTCTTTTCAACTGATAAGACAGCTCATCAAATCGACCACTTAGGTCCCTTTCAATAAACAGTCTGTGCTTCTGTGTTGTTACTTGGGAACCAGTCTCGTAGCTGGGCATGGAGGTGCACACCTGTAATCCTAGTTACCGAGGAGGCTGAGGCAAGAGGATTGCAAGTTGGAGGCAGCCTCAATATCTTAGCAAGACCCTGTCTCAAAATAAAATAAAAATATGGGAGTGTGGTTCAGTGGTTAAGCACCTAACAAAAAACCAGTTCCAGTAACTGTGCCTCAAACAAATGTCAGTTGCCATTGGAGATTCAGCTTCTTCTAAATCCAAAGGAACTCAAGCTTTGTGGAAGTACCTTACAAGGCCACTTCATCCAATTAGCCCTTCAGAGCTTGGGTTCCTTTGAACAATACTCTGACCTACGATTCATTTTGCCATGCAGGAATTTTTATTTCTAACTCTGAGTCAGAAGAGATTTCTCTGCCATCTTTGGAGCAGCCCCGTTGACGGAAGCAGGCGGTACCAGGAAGGACCTGTCCTACCGGGCACACCTAGGGAGGTTGTAAGTGGCTAGAGTTCTGTGTGATGCTGATCTTGTTTCACACACTAGTTGAGCCCCACACTTGCCCCTGGGCCACTCCCTACAGGTGACACAGCCCCGGGTACAGCAGGCTCTGGGCAGTTTGGCAATGCTTACACTTCACAGGTTTCTAGGAAGGGGTGTGGAGCCACAGCTCAGTACCTAGTGAGTAAGAGGATTTCTATTTCAAACAGATTGCCCCCAAAGGACTGCCTTCCCCATCCACAGCAGCAAAGAAACAGAAGAGGGTAGAAGGGAACCCTGCCATCTGGGGAAGGCTCCAGGTCAGTCAACTCAATTTCACCCAAATTCAACCTTCAGACAAACGCGTTTCATTTTTCTTTTTAATAATTCCAATCAAAGGCTCTTGGGATTTTATTTCACAGTCTGAGATATGTTTTTATTTTATGTATTTTATTTTTTTAATTTATTTTTTAGTTATACGTGGACACAATGTCTTTATTTTACTTTATGTGGTGCTGAGGATTGAACCCAGTGCCCCACACATGCCAGGTGAGTGCTCTACCTCTGAGCCACAACCCCAGCCCTGAGACATGTTTCTAATAAATATTTTTTTTTTCTTTGTTTCTGCTAAGACGTTGAGGCTGGCCTCTAACTTGCAATCCTCCTGCCTCAACCTCCCAAGTCGCTGGGATTATAGGTGTGCACCTGCACATTGGGCAAAATATTACTATATTTTTTTTAGGGTTGGGCCAGTTGCCAAACACTGAGTCAGGCTGGAAACACACATGTGTCTACAGACACATACATGGATAAGTTACACATGAAGGTCAGCACCGTAGACTGCCCTGGGCCGGCAGCAGCAGTGCCCCCACTGTGCTGGTCTGATTCCTGGCTAACCGGCCAGTCCCCTGCTGTCCACGACTCGAGGATGTTCTCACCTGTGGCATTTGGCAAGATCGTGTAGCCTTTACCCATCACTGAAGCAGAGTTATGGGTTACGTTGGTTAAGCGTTTCTTTTAATAAATTTAATGATTAGTCTGCCCGTTTACCAGAGCAGAGGAGGAACAGCACAGGACAGGGCTTAGGAGGGTCTCGGCACTGTCCGGAAGGTCATCCCGTGGCCTTCAAGTCAGCTCTGCGCGAGACTCCAGCATGTCCACAGGGCGCCTTCCCTTCTCCAGGCGCCTGGAACCCGAGCAGGCGGGTCGCTGCTGCGAGTCTCTTCGGGTTCCAGTGTCTCTCAGCTGCTTCCTCAGCTTTAGGAGGGGAGCATCTTTCACTTAGTAAATTTGCTTTTGTTCCATAATGGTCCAATAAGTGCCCCCCTCCAATTTTGGACATTCCCATAGAGAGCTCACCACCATGTCACCCTCTTAGGGCCCCAATGACACAGAGAACCAAATCATGGGTTAGGTATTAATTTCCTTAGCAACTGGAAGAGATTAAGACCACCACTATTAGGCCCCGGACCTCATGCCCACAGGTCAAGAGCTCCCAGGAGGAACGGAAGGAGCAGTTAATCTGGGGGATCCGGAGCGAAGGCCCCGCCTCCGCCACGCACCCAACACCTGATTAGATCAGGACATGCACGGGGCGTTGTGCTTACCAGCTTGAGAGAAAGCTTCCCGTGAAAATTGAAGAGGTGACAGGGAAAAAGAGAGAGAGAACAACACATCAGAACAGGAGGCCCGGCCCGTGTCCACATCACACACCACAGATTCACCCGCGGGCCGCGAGGACGACCTGCAGCGGATCTGTGCAAAGGTTCACAAGAGGGTCTGACCCCAGCAAAGCTTCTCCTAGCTGCTGCAGCAACGGCAGAGGCAGAGGCTTAAAGGAGAGTTTCTGCTACAGTCGGCATTGTCCCTCGGCCTGGGTACGGACAGCAAGCTTGTACTTGGGGACATGTAGGATGATGGGGGAAAAAAAACAGCCACAGGGCCAACCCCGCCCCACGGCTCTGCACAGGTCTTATAAAGTCTATTCTTATCACAGGGGACTCGAATGGACGTGAACCTTGGCGTTCTGTAAAGGCGTGAAGGGGAGCTCTGAACTTAGTGAGAGGGAAACAAGGATTAGAAATTGTTCTTTGAAATGACCTGCAGGAGCCAGTCCTTGTGTTCTAGAGAGCACAGGGACAATACCAGAGCCCCAGTTACCACCTCCTGCCAGGGGAGGGGTCTTCTGGCCTCCCAGCGCTGTCCACGTGGACTACGAAGCCTCGGGAGAATTACTGGGAGTTGCCGAGGGGTGCTCCTGACTACGGATCCCTGACGATCATCAGGCCACGGCAATGCAATCCTGCTGTGCCTGGAGACTGGGGAGGGACAGGGATTACTGGGCCCAAAACAGATAAAAGGGTGTCACCAAATTGGAAAAAGAACGTGGTTCTGCATTCAAGGTGCATGGCTGAAAGTGGCCCTTGGAGAGTCCGGTGCATGATATTTCCTCCGTGGCTATCAATCCTCCAAGTTGAGGCAACTGGTAGTAGGACCCCAGAATAATTTGGAGACAAAGTACCAAAGAAGGTGCCCTTTGATTTTAAATGGGTGGTTACTCAGGTTTTTAAGATGCAATCCTTAAGATTGACTGAACGCTGACACTTCTTTGTAAATAGGCAATAACTTTGATGAGCAAGACAACTTTTGAAGGAAAGAATTAAAAGCCTCTCCAGGCACAGGTGACAGGTGACCTCTGTCTGACAGGGACTAGTGACGCTCACCGCCCAAGCCTCCTGGAGCCTTGGCCCAGATCCGCTCACGGTGACCTGAGCTGGTCACACGCAGACAACACTGAGGGTGCACACGGAGACTTTCCAAACAGCTCTCTCCGGAGCCCTAGGGCACACGCGGCTTCCCGACTCTGTCTGGCGGAGCTCACTCAAGGCACGGACACTAGGACTGGACGCGCTAGTCGCCCTCAACTCAGCTGCTCCTGTCACTTTCGTTCTTAAGGGTTCCCAAGACAGACTTCTAACCTCAAAACTGCATCGTCGGAAGATTACTACCTCCTAATAAAAAGAGACGGACAGGATCCAACATGGATCCCTGCAGAAACCGGAAATACCGAGTCCCCAGAGTCGACGGGGAGCGCTGTCGGGACAGGGACCTCCTTTGAAGGATGATCAACTGGTTTTCAGTCTTAATTTGTGAGTCAGCCAATTAGTTCCTCGAAATCAGAGACTGACCGTCAGCTAGGAGAAGGACTTTAAAGGCTTCACCCAGTGCATTGCCAGGCATCTGAACGACTCAGAAGCTGTCCCTTTCAGGCGACCAAGAGCCTCGGAGCCAGAAGCATCAATAACACATGAGGGAACACAGCGCCGGCAGAGCCCATGTGTTATTGGGCAGTCACAGGTACTAACCTCAAGAACAAGGAGGGGGGACGGTGAAAACCGCTCGTGAGCACGAGTATTTAAGGAAAGTCCTTCCGCTAGTGTGTGGCTCACGCTTCATGGGCTTTTTTCGTCCCAGCTTTAGGGCATAAACTCCCGAGGGATCTGTTTGTTAGAGACCCGGCCGTGGGTGATGGAGCCACGGGATGGGCCACCTGCCAGAGCACCGCGTCCACGACCACGCTCTGCGGCTGCGTTTTAATGGGTGAGATTCTGTGGCGAAATCATACCCGGTGACATCTCAGATGGCAGTCACCATCCCTTTAAAGATTTTGCCAGAACTAGAATAAAAAGGGGGGAACCCAACGAGAGGAGCCTGCTGCTTTTCCGAGGAAGCAGCCGTGGAATTCATACGATCAGGCTCTTCCCCGCCCGGCCAGGTCTCCTGACGGGGCATTGCATTTGGTGGTGTAGAAGCATTGCGGGTACCCTCGGGTCCCAGCCGTGGTCCTGTCCGTGGGGTTAGTGGCTGTGCCGTGACTGCGTGACCTGCCGCCACAGTTAAACTTACAACATAGTCCCTAGCCTCAAAGGCATACGTGGGTTTCCCTAGCGTCCTCTTCATGAGTTCTTTGTGTAAACAGAGAGACTGAGCCTGCCAATGACCAGCAAGAAAACAAGATAAAATAAACAAAATTAAAGTAACCACAAGATTGTTCAACCAACAAATGATTGGTATGGCTTTTCAAAATCTTTTGATCATCTTTGATGCTACATTTCCATACAACTAACTCTAAAATATGGGGGGGGGATGTCCATATTTTAGATATAAAAGTCCCTTGCACAGGCCAGGAGAAGAAATCTTCATTTAAGACCAAAAAATTACAATTTGTAGATTATAAACCAAGGATATAGGACTCTCTGGCTTCATTTTTCTTTGACTTACGTGAAGATGAGACAATAGTTAAATGTCTGTGGCATACCAATCTTTGAAGATGCTCAGAAAAACAAAATTTTCTTATATAAACGCCAATGGCTTACAACAACAAAAAAAATTCTATCCTGTTTCATTATTCAGAAACAGAATCGGTTATGCTAAGAAACGTCTGCCCAAGAGCCATTCTCTCTGACAACTGAATCAGCGATTGAGATCTGAACCCAAGGACTGCAAAACGGGAGAAATCAAAAGACATTGGAACCACAGATTTGTTATTCTCCTAGGATACTTTTTCTAATGAAATCATCTTTGGTAGGACAGTCTCAAGTTAAAAGAGGAGAATAAATAAAATGACAGAGACTTCGCCACCTCAGTCCTGAGGCTGTGGGTGTCCTTTGGGGACACTGGGCACCTTCTATGCTGAGATGGCTTTGAAGTCAAATCCATTTCCCAAACTTTAGGTTTACACGTTTTGTCTGAACGTCCTGGTATTTCCTTTTTCTTTTACTTTCTTTCCTTTTTCAGTTTCTTCCTAGAGGAATGAGGGGACAGCAAACATGACCCTAACTAAAAATAATCTGACCAAAATGAGGAAGGAAAACCATTTCTTTACCAGTGCTTCCAGTGTGTATGTGTGTGGTTTGCCCTCAGGAAAGAAAAAAAAAAACTAACAGACACTCGCTGAGCACAGATGTGAAGAATAAGAAATAAAATTCATTTTGCTGATTATGATAAAAAAAAAAGAAAAAGGATTTTCCTTTAAGTCATCAAATAAACCAGTTTCCCGTTCCACTGTTTGGTTGTTAAGTATGCCTTTTCTAGCTACCTTTTTCTTTTACTTAGGAAAAACTGACATCCTTGGGTCTTTCCCTCCACTTACTTAGGGATACCATGACACAGATTCAGAAGCCATCTGTAGAGAGACGCAGGAGGCAGGTACACACGCAGGGGACCATCGAGAGTCCCAAGCCAAGGGCAGATTCTCCAGCTGCAAAGGCAGTGCACTGCGTCTTGGTGAAGGCCTTGGAAGTGCAGCAATGGGTGAGGTGTCACGGACTCAGAGGTTCGTGGCCCAGCTCGCCTCACATGCTGGGAGTGCGGCCACGGGCGGAGAGAGGTCCCAACCAGCCTAAGCAGCCCAGGAGCTACCGATTCCTCAGCCAGCCCCAATAACAGAACTCGACTCTGTCTGTCCGCCATCCACTCCCAGAGCCACACTCACCTTCAACAGTGCCCCTGGACAGCTTCAGGATATCAGATTTCTAGCTCATCATTTGATATGCGGGGGAACCTTAAAGCAATCTAATTCCAAATTCTGTGCACAAAACCTTGAGATTCTCTCATTAAAAGAACTCTACCTATAAAGAATTGTTGTTTTTGTCCCTTATTATAATAGCTAATAGCCTAGTTATCAATCATATATCTGACCATATACACACACATATATACTTATGTATTTTAACTTTCTTTTTACATAGAGTACTTGTGTAGACTCAGAGGAATATGGACTGTGAGGTTAATGGTTAACTACTGTTATTCTCTGACAGGTATCCAGCAGATTGATTCAAAATCTGAGCAGGACACTTGTCATCCCGAAGCAGTTTTTCTCCAGAATCTCTTCCTGTGCCCATGTGACCCTCCAGAGGAAAGGCCAGAACGTTTGCAGGTTTAGTTCAGCACTCTGCTGGGCCTGCCTTTACCTGCAAGGCCTCCCACTTTGGCTCTGGGTGACCTCACTATCAGGCACAGTATGGAAAGAAGTGACCCAACTGTCCATCAACTGGAGGTCCCAGGGGAAGGGGAGAGTGAAATCACGTTTGTCCAATCAAGCCTTCCGTTCCAGCCGAGTTTCAGCTCCCCAGGGACCGGATCAGAAAACCCTAGTGCATTTGTCAGTGCACTAAATATGGATGTATGGATATTTCATTATAAGAGATTTCATTATAAGAGACATTTGGGGAAGCATCGGACTAGACCTACCCTTTGCTTTTATTTGGAGGCCTCCGATTACTTTGATCTTTTTTCATAAGCCAAACGGGAATGTAGGTTGGATTAGCACATCAGGTCCCGGGGCTCAGACACACGAAATCTCAGAATGGCAGACCTGAGCTTTAATAAGAGCCTCTGATGCCTCAACCACATTCTGACCGTGTGGCCGTGGACTCTGTAGGCAGATCCCTGGCTTCAAATCCTGGCTCCACATGTCCCTAATTTCACCTCTTTCTGCCTCGATTTCCTGGACAGCAAAGTAGGCAAATATCATGTCTAGAGGGGTTAAAGGTGAGCGTTCTCAGAGCACCCAGGAACGCCACTGGCAGCCAGGAGAAAAGCAGGTCGAGCGCCCTGACCTGAAATGCTCCCACCAGAGGTGGCTCAGGCTCCACATTTTCCCCCCAGGTTTTGAAATATTGCATATTCTAAGACATAATGAGACATCCTGCAGAGGGGACCCAAGTCTAAAACTGAAATTCATGTGTCTTACGCATACATCTTATACATGTAGCCTGAAGGGACAATATTTCTAGGGTGCTTATGGCTTTTTGGGGTGCTGGGGAAGAAACACAGAGCCTCGAGTGGGCCGGGCAAGTGCCCTCCCCCAGAGCCACCAGCCCCTGCACCTGGGTGGTCAGCTGGGAATCTTCACCCGCAGGGCCACGCGGCCACTCAGATAGCTCCAGAGTTGAAGCACTGGGTGACTGACTCTCGGGTCAGCGATGCCCGACCCGCGCTGTGCTGGCCTTACCCGACTCTCACAACTCACTGACACTGCTAACGAAACCACTGCCGTGACATTTCCCCTTTGACCCCGAGACACAGCTCGAGAGAAGTGGCTCTGTTCCACGTCAGTTCAGGAATTACTAAGCAAATATTTTCTGACTCTACGGCCACTTCCAATTCCTCATCTCACACGTGGTTAGTTTTAGAAACAGAACGGTTCCCTTTTTTGGTGAAATCAAGGTGAAAATGTAACAACTTAGAGACTTTCAAGGGGAAGTGAGGAAAATCCTTTTGAAATGCACTGGACACAGGAAGTGCTGGGGGGCTTTCTCTCTCCCTCTCTGTTCTGTCTCCTCCTTTCCTCCTCTTTCTGTGCTTCTCTCCTTGAACGAGCCCTGATTCTCTCACCTGTTTTCTTCTTTCTGTTTTTGTTGTTACGGGAAAACACAACGAATTCATTCACAAACAGATAAGTCAGGCAGGACACAATGAGCCGACAGTGCGCCAGAGAGACAGGACTCCGGAGCGGAACTTACCCCACGCTTTAGGCTCCTGAAGCAGTGGATTTTGGGTTTGGAGATCATGAACTCGTTGAAGCGATGGGAGAGGGGTTCCTTTTGCTGCTTGGGAGACTGGGGGCCGTTGGGAACAGCAGAGGGTGAGGCAGAGGCGGGGGGAGGAGGGGGAGGCTGATGGGGGGATGTTAAGAGGGACACAAGCTACGTGTGAGAGATGCAGCAGTGACAGAGTAAAACCAGAAAAAGAAGATAAGACACAAAACAAAAATAAACATCAAACAGCATTTGAAATCCAAAGCAAGTCAAACACAAACCATTAAATATTTAGGCCATGGTCCAACAGAAAGCAGGAAGGAATGTCAAATGAAGGACAGGATGGAAGGAAGAGGGTTAGTCCGCGGCGCACAGAGGCGAAGCAGAGGCACCGAGGGGAAGCCTGTGCGCGGCTCGCATGCAAACTACAAATGGTTACTCCAAAACCGGCTTAGGGCGGAAGGGGAGATGTGTCTACACCACCTAAACTAACACAGCTTGATGGGAGAAAATGAAAGGCCTTGATGCCAAGGTCTTTCTAGAATTAAACGTGGAGCCGCTTCCGTCTAAGCTTATGCGGAGGGAAACGCTGTCATGCACCTATGTTACCACACTACGGAAAGAAAATGGAGAATGTTCATGGAGACACATGTTAACGGGGATTCAAAACCCAGTTATTGCCCAGGGCCACAGGTTTAATCAGACGTGCTGCTAATGGTTATAGAGGTGGCGTCCTCACCCCCGCGCAGGTACCCAGCAGCCTCGGAGGGGGCTAGGAGTGAAAGGGCAAATGCACAGGGAGAGGGTCAGTAATCTGTTAGTGTGGGTGACACGGTACAAGTGAGAATGCGTCTGAAATAAGACAGCGGGCCATGGCAGCACTACCACCGACAGCAAGGCGGACCGGATCTAAAGTAGCACTCTAGATTTTTGTTTTTTCATTCTGAAACTACAGATTTAATATTTTAATTTTTTTTTAAACCTAAAGTCCAAATCTCCACACTTTAACAAATTCATTTTGCACTGGGTCCAAACCACCAGTACCTTATTTTTCTTGATGAACGGCCATAGCTTTCCTTTGGATTTGCCGCCAAATTTGAGCTCGGGCTTGCCATCTCCTCTGGAATTCGAGAGGCTGTTGTCGGACACGGTGCGTTTCATGGGCTGCGTGTAGTCCTCAAATTCAATGTCTCCGGGGGGCTCAAAACCCGACTTATAAGCTTCTATTACCAGCTGTGAATCCTGAAATCAAACCACAGACACATCAGCCACGCACAACAGTCCCACCCGGGAACCCCGGCGCCCTCATACGACGGGATCTACAGAAACTGCGCTCCATCTCAGACTTCCTGACACTTCTCCACCCTGGAGGAGCAAACCGGGTTAAAAACTACATTGTGAAAAGCAGGGGAAAAAAAAATAAAGGAAAGAAATAAATCCACGGGCCATGATTATGCAATTCCCTCGATAAACAGAGTAACAGAAAAACCTGGTTCCGGCAGACGCTCTGGAAGCGATTCAGCATGCGCTGGCCAAGGCTGGAAGAGACCGTCTCGTTTCTCAGGTCACTGGGTTCAAAGACACTGATCTAGAGCCTGGTGTTCCCTGGTGTAGATATTCGCCCACTAGAACACGAGCCCTCTTCTGTGACCTCTCTACTGCATTCCCAGCACCCGATGGTCCCAGGGGATCCCGGGGGGCAACAGGTGTTTGCTGAATAAATCAATGAACCGAACGTACACTCCACGGCGTGGAACTGTGGGTTCAGCAACTTCCCAGGGAGCCCAGAGCCAGACGGCGGAGACACAGTGTAAAGAAGTCACAGCCCAAGCGTCTTGAGCACCGTGCTATAGATGGATGGACTGGCAGATAATGACAGGTGGCAACCCAACTCCGTGACCTTCTGATTTTTTAAGGAAAGATAACAAGGGTGAGCTCGGGTTCTTAATGAGATGGGTTCAGCTGGCCATCGCTCTTCTAGCTTATCCTTAAAGTGCAGGTGAGTCGCGCTCCTGACAGACTTCCAACCAGTCACCTGCCTTCTCAGTCCTAAGAGCTGACTGGGCACACTGTCCCCGGACAACAGGCTTCACTGCTTGGCCTCCTGAACAGCAAGAGGTAGCTGTGTGACTAAGTTTGGCCTCTGAGACAGAGGCAGAAGTGCACTGTGTGATCTTAGGAATTCTTCTTAAGGCAGTGGCATGAGCCTGTCTCTGGATTCTGTTTTCTGAAATTTGGATGTGATGGCTGGAGCTCCAGGTGCCATACTGGACCATCAGGTAGAAGGTCACATCATTGTGAGCACAACAGCAAAACTGGGAGCTTTGCATCCTCTGATCCCATCTAAGTAATTATTAAAGTGTTTCCTCCAACTGCAACATCACTTCCTGATAAAGTACCTGTCCCCTAGTCCTGTGCCGGTGCTTCCTACCATTCTTTCCTACTTCATCTCTCCCAAAATGCTTGTCGTGTTTACAGTTCCACACATGTTCTCACTTACAGCAGTGCCTGGCACTTGTTAGAAATAAACAGAAGGCAGTGGCGGGCTTCAGAGCAAAGAGCACAGGCTGGGGGGGTCTAATGGACACATTTTGAAAGGGACCTGGGCAAGACTGTAACCACCTTGGGCTCAGGGTTCTTCTCAGTAGGTCAAGCTGGGGACGACAGGCATGGAATAAGGCAGGGGTTCAGTGACACTCAGTGAACCATGTTATAAAAGCACCACGGAGCCAGGCGCAGTGGTCCACACCCACTATCATCCCAGTGATCGAGGAGGCTGAGGAGGAAGGACCCCGAGTTCGAGGACAGCCTCAGCAACTCGGCAGGACCCGATCTCAATATAAAACATTGGCCTAGGGCTGGGGATGTGGCTCAGTGGCCGAGCACTTATTTAGCATGTGCAAGGCCCTGGGTCCGTCCCAGCATGCACTAAAAACATGTAGACAGGACCCTTGGATTTAGCAACAAGAACATGAGAAATGATTCTTAGTGACGCGGTGGAAAAAGAGGCTCCTATAATGGGGGAAAATTCTAGAATCCAGTGGTGGCTCATCATTTCCCAGATAAAACTAAGCAAGGAACACATCACTCAGACAGACTCTGGCAAAACCTTGGCTGAGGGAAGTCTCCCAGCTCCTAAGAGGAGACCTTAACATCAGGTTCCTTAGATCTTCACCGCTGCCAGATGCCTGTGAGGAGCCAGACCCACAGAGGGCGTCCATGGTGGAAGGCAGTGCTTCCCGGCTCCACTGCGCCCTCACCCTTTGAAAGACCCCCGGACGTTATTCCCTGATGATTACTGAGATGTTCACAGGGTGATCACAGGAAGCCTCATGAAGAGTATTTTTTTTTTAATAGATAAAACCATCAAAGAAAGGTTCAGCTTGGAGGGACAGTCGCATCACATCTGGGGAAACGCCTTGGCACGCGCAGTGGGGGCACCAGTTATTTAGGAGCACCGACAACTTTTCCCTAAGAATTCAGCTGCTGTCGTGGAAGGAGGAGCATCAGACTCACTGTATTAACAAAAGGGAGACGGAGAAACCCTGAATCACGACAAGACAGAGAAGAAACTCCACCCACCGCCGGGGAGCCCTCTCCCACCGACTGACGGGTCCCAGGTCAATGTTCCTAATGAGAGGATCTTGCCTCCCAGGGGAGGCCTAACTATGTCCCTTGTCACAGCTGGGGGACCACCACTGGCATCTGGTGCCAAGTACCCTGACAGCCCCCACAAATGCCACTTACAGATTTTCTCAGCCAAATGACAAGAAAATACTTCGACTTAATGCTGTAATGTCACCACCGTCAATTCACCATGACAATGTGTTTTCTGCAAAAAGGATCAGAGCCCGGTCCATGCCACGGAGGGGCCACCTCGACAGCTCCCCGGGAGGGCTGCTGTGGGAGAGGCCTGGCCACAGAGGAGGTGGCCCTGGCAGATGGAGGGGCCCTGTAGCGGAACCACAGCATGTCACTGTGAACAAGCCCAAAGCCCACTGCTTACGCTCTTCTGGTTGATGGCCTCGGCCGCCTTCACTATCCCGTCCAAGCACTTGCCGATGATGGGGATCACCTGCCGGTCCACCTCGGCGTACGTCTTCATGGACTCCCCGATCCTCACGATCCGCCTTTCCTCCATCTCTTGGATTTTCTGCAACGTCAGAGTGTGTTTTTTTTTAAAAAAAAAAAAAAAAACAAAACCTCGGTCCCTGAGATTCAGGGAAGTTGTTTGGGGCAACACTGTTACCTAAAATAAATCCTCTAGGGGAAAGGCCTGGAGGTCATATGTACTGTGCCTCTATACTAGCCGGCTGTATACACACCTGATAAACTGTTAGGCGGCCAAGTGTGTACTTCGCACAATTCCATTCCATTTCAGCAAGAGCCCGTCGTGGTAGTTAATTATTAACATCATTTGGTAACACACTTCAAACGCCTTCTCCATTTTTTTTTTTTTTTTAGTACTGGGGATTGAACCCAGGGGCACTTGATCACTGAGCCACATCCCCAGCCCTTTGTCATCTAGAGGCAGGGTGTCACTGAGCCGCTTCGGGCCTCACTGAGTTGCTGAGGCTGGCTTTCAACTCGTGATCCTCCTGCCTCAGCCTCCCGAGGCGCTAGGATTACAGGTGGGTGCCACCATGCCTGACACGTCTTCTGCATCTTTGATCCCCTATTTTACTCTAGACCAAGAAAAGCTCAGCCCGTGGCTGTCTCAGTGTAACACAGGCTGGAGTAGAACTAGTGTCCCTTCCTTCTGCCATCCGGGGTTCTCGTGTGCTGTGGGTGTAGATGCCAACAAGCAAGGCTTATGTTTTCCTACATCTAGGTTTGAAGTCATGAAAGATTCCCCAAATGGAAGAGCATGTACATATCTTTTCTGATATGTGTGTGTGTGTGTGTGTGTGTGTGAGAGAGAGAGAGAGAGAGAAAGAGAGAGAGAGAGAGAGAGAGAGAGAGAGAGAGAGAGACATTAGGGCTAAGTGCCTGCTCTGCCAACACCTTCCCACTGAACCACACCCTGCCTTCTCTCCTCACTTTTGATAACCTAAAGTAGCCAAAAGAAAACAATCAAAAGGAAAGAATTGTTACTGATTCAAATCCTACAAGTGTGTGGATGTACGCTGTTTTCTTAAGTTGGCATTTTTTGTAGGTAGAATGGTTCTTATAGTAAAGAACTAAAATGGTCCTTTTAGTTAAGACTGGCACACAAGCACGCGCACTCGCGTGTACACACACACACACACACACACACACCAACTGTAGGCACAAAGGGGGTTGGCCAAGGCAACTCGTTAGTCTTGAGAGTAATATGACATCTCCTTGCCAGGGCCAGTGGTGCATGCCTGTAACCCAAGTGGCTTTGGGGACGTGGAGGGCGAAGGCAGAAGAATCACAAGTTTGAGGTCAGCCTCAGCAACTTAGCAAGGCCTTGAGCAAGCTAGTGAGACCCTGTCTCAAAATAAAATACAAGAAGGGCTGGGAACATGGCTCGGTGGTTAAGCGCCCCTCAGTTCAATTCCTGGCACCAAAACAAATAATTAAAAATAAATTACATCTCGTTCTTATTGCTGGCCAATGCTTGACCTATGATTCTAAAATTGACTCACTGGACATCAAATTACAGAAACACTTAGACCACAAGCCCAGCGGTCCGATTCCAAGGCGACACGTTTGCACCCAGAGCACGCGAGACGCAGGAGGTCCTGAGGCCCCACCTGGAAGATGCTGGGGATGTGGGTGTGGTAGTACTCGTGCTGCTCCTGGTTGAACTTCTGAAGGCTCGACGAGTAGTCTGCCTTGCTGTCCTCTGCCATCTGGTGACGTATCTGAGCTTGCTGCCGCGCCTGAGGGCCAAAATGAGGACACACGTTTATGCATTAAAAAGAAGGAAAAAGACCTTGAACTGCACACCGCAGCCGAAGTCACCCCAAGTGGCTGGATTTCTCAAGTGCTGTTTTTTTTTTTTTTTTTTTTAAATCTTGAACATGAATCTACTTTAGGTGAATTGCATGCACCCCAGTGTCACAGACCCCACTCCGTGGCTCACCGTGGCTCGCAGGTGCAGGTTTGACCAGTGCTCCCTCCCTATGGTCTGCTTTTGGGCCAGTTCTCGTTTTCAGGTCACCCGGGTGACTCCTGTGGGAACCTCGGCTCACGTGTGTGTGTATAGACCTCAAATGTGCATTTGTTTTAAATTTTGGAGGAGGGGAGCAGGAACCCCTACATTAGAGTCTAATTCCCACAGGTTTCATGAACTAAGAAAGCATGGGAACCTCCGAGACTGCGGACCCGAAAATGCTTCACCTGTTTTCAGTGCCTACGTTCAAGAAGCAATAATAACGCACCTTGTTCTGCTTTCTACGGCTTTTCTTGGGTGGGGGTGTGCTAGTTTGTGTTTTATCATTTTAATTCTCCAAAAAAAATTAATAGGACACTTGATAAGTGTGAACCGGGTGCGGTGCCTCATGCCCCTGGTCCCGGCGACGCAGGGCTGAGCAGGTGGGTGGCTGAGCCCAGGAGTTGGAGGTGCCTGGGCAGCACAGGGAGACCCGGGCTCAAGAAACGAACACTCGTTGCTAAAAAGAACCAACAAAAACCAACATATACATCGTCACTCTCTTTCAATCCATATTTTGGTTGATTGCATACTTGTAAAGGAAGGGTAGCCGTTTACAAGTGGCAGAATGGATTCTGGTGTGTGTGATGGGAATGGGACCCGGGACCTCCGGGGCGCCCGGCACTGGCCACCACGGAGCGACACCCCCAGTCCCAGGAGGATTTTAAAGCTCAAACCAGACGGTGTGCCCACCCTAAGGCATCCCCGCACAGGAGCCGTGATACTCCTAACCCCCCTGCGACGCACGCAGCCTTTAGAGGTGATTTGCTAACACCATCCCGTGACACTGACCCAATCCGGGGTCCCCTGGCAGAAGCCCACCCCCTGCCTGAAGGAGCCCGGCTGGGCTGGGCCTGGCGGGGGGCCTGGCGAGCTCTCTCTGGGCCAAACGCAGCAGGAGAGGCTCTGCTCCAGCACGGCTGCTGTCTGCCTGTTTTAATTTTGTTTCACTGAACAAATACAACAGAGGATTCAGACCGAGAGTGAAAGAAAGCACACACAAAGGAGGTTCAGACGTGAACGCACAGAGGAAGCGCTCAAGCCGTCGGCCCCACTTTCTGTGTGACGCAGGCACCACCGGCTCAGGCGCCCTCCCCTGGGGGGACCTGGAGCCCACTTCCACCAGGCAGTCCCCGTCTGCAGACCGCAGAGAGCCAAGGTGGCGATTCACAGTTACTTCCTTTATCTTCTTCCCTCTTCAGACATCACACTTCTTGAATGAAGGTGACAGTGACAATGTTTCCCATCAGTTTCCTTATTATCTGGGGCATTTGGTTGGTGAGGCCAGAGGGCCTCTCACTTTTATCGACTTCTCATTCTTGGCTTGTTCCTACTCTTTGTTGGTGGCCTGTGACTCCCTTCCTGGCCATATGCTGTGGCTTCCGTTCCTACTCGTCTACCAGTAATGGAAGAATCGAGGCCCCAAATGCTCATCTCCACCTACCTCCAAACCCCCACCCGGGTGCGCGGTGGCTCCTCCGTTGAAACAACAGCTTCCCCTCTGTGAATGCCATCTGGCCCTTTACAAAAAGCACTTTTAACTCCTTCAACGACCTTTGGTTTCATCATTTATCATTTTGCTCCGAATATTAAAAAAACAAAACAAAAAAAACAAGGGAATTCCCACCCAGACCTCAAACTTCTAAAACCCTCTCCGGCTCCTTCCACACCTTCCTCAGAAAGCCCCAGAAACTCCACAGGGGAGTCTCCTCCCCTCTTCTGTAAGGAACAGGGCGACTGAGGAGAGAAGCGAGTCCCGCTTAGTTTGGAGAAGTGATTCTCCTTTGTGGAATTTTACAACAGCCCAAGTTCTGGAAGAGACTCAGGATATCATTGTATATGATAGGTATAAGTGTACACAAGCGCACACGCACACGCGCACACACACACACACACACACTTGAGCAGACTGTAGCTCCCTGGTGATAAACCCACTGTGGCTGCCTGGCATATTTTCCTGAGCGCCGACCAGAGGTCCTTGGCACCGTGTGGGTGGGGATGACTCTGCTCTCCTCCTCCTGGCCCCCCACTAGCGGTCAGCTTCCCTGTGTAATTGCTTTGTAAGCTCCTTAGCTCTCAGGAGTTTCTCAGTGCCCTTTACCCAGCCTGCACCCAGCAACCCTGAAACATGACTGGGGACCCCGAGGTGGGAACTGCAGAGGACTCTGGGTAAAGAACAGCAGGTCACACTCCAGCCTGGAGGGTCAGCACAGGAGAAAACACACCTTGGGCACAGCGTCGGCCCACCTTTTATGTGACAAACTCTCTCTGGGACTCTTTCTCCACTGCGAAGGCTGGGACATAAGATTACAAAAGCCCCCGTTTCTACAGACTTGCCTGCTCACTCTCCCTCCAAGCCCGGGGGACTGCTTCAGCAGAGCCCTGATCTGCGCAGAATTCCACAAAGCCACCGAGGAGGAGTGGCCGTCTTGCTCCGCCCCCGCCCCCCCCCCAGCTGCTTTGCATTAACATCCAGCTCTGAGCCTTGGGCCTAGGAATGTGCTTGCTATTTATTGTTCTCCCCAAGCTAAAGAAAATCTATTTTTGTTTAGTAAGCTTTTCTGTTTATTCTACAGTGGAATTTCAAAGTCTCCAAAACTAGTGTTGAGCCACTCAGTCATTATTACAAACATATTTTAGAAATTATTTTTGAGGGCTGGGGCTGTAGCTCAGTGGCAGAGAGTCTGCATGTGGAAGGCACAGGGTTCGATCCTCAGTACCACATAAAAGTAAAATAAAGATATTGTGTCCACCTACAACTAAAAAAGTTTTTTTTTTAAAAAAATCATCTTTGAAAGTACTTTCAAAAATGCATCTGGATTGGGCTGGGGTTGTGGCTCAGGGTTAGAGTCCTCACCTAGCAGGTCTGAGGCCCTGGATTTGATTCTCAGCACTACATAAAAATAAATAAAGGTATGTGTCCATCTACAATCAAAAAATAATTATTTAAAAAAAATTTTTAGATGCATCTGGAGTAACTGTGGAGTCACTTGATTTTACAGACTGCAGCTCCCAAAGTCTGAGGCTAAATGGAGATTACAAGCCTCTCTGTGGCTCACCTCTTTGTAAATTGGTCTAAAAATAGCAACTATTATCTCAAAGAGATACAGTATTTCCATTCTAAACCACAGCATAGGTTATTTCTTTAAGCAAAATTTCCCATTCTAAAAATAAGAAGTGCTGCCTCTTTGAAGACACCAGGACAGCCGTGTACTTGGGGTTGGTGAGTTGGTTCTGCAGTTTTTTTAAAAAAATCTTGGAATTTAGAGATAACATTCTAAAAAGTCCAGAAGGCCTGCAGTTGCCTGTGAGTGTAAGTCACAGACATCTCCGAGTGAGATTCTGACCCCTTCTGATGTCCATCAGGAAGACTGAATTTAAACTTTACACTCTCTTTGACAACCCCCAGGAATCTCCCCAGACACGTCCAGACAGACCTAAGTGTGCACTAGCGGTGCGACGCACTTCTTGGTGATTCTTAACACAGGTGGCATTAAAACTGACTGCCTGAAAGGCCACAGGAGTGACTGCTGAATAGAAACCCCACTGCAGCCCAAGACGCCCCGTCCCAATGAGTTGGTCGTGATCCACTTAGTTAGCTAATTTTAGATTTTTAGTGTGGCCAAAATGTGTAGTTATTTCCTGTTTAATTCAATATGACTCTTTCTTTAGTAATTCAAAATATTAAGGAGAAAAATAACTGCTGTCTCAGTCTCAGGGATCATGAACAGAGAATCGGGGTGCACAAAGAAACCTGCTCACGGGCTGGGGATGTGGCTCAAGCGGTAGCGCGCTTGCCTGGCATGCGTGCGGCCCGGGTTCGATCCTCAGCACCACATACAAACAAAGATGTTGTGTCCATCGAAAACTAAAAAATAAATATTAAAAAAAAAAAAGAAAGAAAAGAAATATTAAAAAAAAAAAAAAAGAAACCTGCTCACTTTCACGTGGGAAACACAGCAGGTCTGCTTACAAAGGTGTGCCCCTGGGCGCTGTTCACAACTGCCCACGGCTTTTGATCTTATAACAAAACGAGCACATATGGACTGGCTCCATTTATATATTGACTGAACGTGTAAATAGTGAGACTGAATACTGAGGGAGGTGGCGGACCCCTGAGATCCCCCAACTTGGGAGGCTGAGGTGGGAGCATCTCTGCACCCAGGAGTTTGAGACCAGCCTGGGCAACAGGCTGTGCCCCCAAACCCTCATGAATACACTAGATTCTCCAGGATTTGTCAATGATTAGGAGTCACACTGATTTTTTTTTTCAAAGAGAGAGAGAGAATTTTAATATTTATTTTTTCTTAGTTTTCACGCGGATACAACATCTTTGTTGGTATGTGGTGCTGAGGATCGAACCCGGGCCGCATGCATGCCAGGGAAGCGCGCTACCGCTTGAGCCACATCCCCAGCCCAGGAGTCACACTGATTTTACCCTAGTCTTTGACCCAGCAGTTCTACTTCTGGGAATTTATCTTACTGAAATGACTTTAAGTGGGCACCAAAGCTACCCACCATCACGAGGTTTATGAGAACTAATGATTTTAAATAATAATCAGAAACCAATGCCAGCAATTTGATTGGTTAAATAATACGATGGGCTAATGTGTAGCCTATTTAAAAATATAAAAGAGGGATGGGGCTGGGGCTTGGTGGTAGAGCGCTTGCCTAGCACATGGGAGGCACTGGGTTCGATCCTCAGCACCACGAAAAGATAAATAAATA